TGCGGGACTGGAAGATCATCCTGCAGATGCCGATCGCATCGGTATTGCCATCGGCTCAGGCATTGGTGGTATTAATCTAATTGAAGAAACCCACTCGACGCTGCTTAAAAGCGGGCCGCGTCGGGTCTCGCCGTTTTTTGTGCCAGGTTCGGTCATCAACATGATTTCCGGAAACCTGTCGATTAAATATGGCTTCAAAGGCCCTAACATTGCCATAGTCACGGCCTGTACAACGGGTACCCATAATATTGGTTTCGGTGCACGCATGATTCAGTATGGCGAAGCCGACGTCATGGTTGTGGGTGGCTCGGAGTTTGCGACTTCACCCATCTGCGTTGCAGCTTTCAGTTCCATGAAAGCTCTATCGACACGGAACGATGAACCGGAACTGGCATCACGCCCCTGGGATGAAGACCGCGATGGTTTTGTCCTGGGTGATGGTGCTGGCGTATTGGTGATTGAAGAGTATGAGCGTGCCAAGGCACGCGGCGCTAAAATTTATGCCGAAGTGCTTGGGTTTGGTATGAGTGGCGATGCTTATCACATTACCGGGCCTGCAGAAAATGGCGAAGGCGGTGCGGCGGCAATGGTGAATGCTCTGAAAGATGCGTCGCTTAATCCCGAAGACCTTGGCTATCTGAATGCTCACGGTACCTCAACACCGCTGGGTGATGTGGCGGAGACAAAAGGCATAAAGTCGGTCTTTGGCGATGACACAAAGCTGGCAGTGAGTTCAACCAAATCGATGATTGGTCACCTGCTTGGTGCAGCGGGTTCCGTTGAAGCGATATTTACCGTGAAGGCACTGGCAGATCAGGTTCTACCACCAACAATTAATCTGCATAACCCGAGCGCTGAGTGTGATCTGGATTATGTGCCCAACGAAGCACGCAAGGTCAGCATCAAGACCGCGGCGAGCAATTCGTTTGGTTTTGGTGGAACCAATGGAACCTTAGTTTTCGGCACACTCTGACGGTCGTTGTGTATGCCGCGTAAGTGGTTGATCGGTGCCGCAAGCATTACTCTCGCAGGGTTTGTCGCTGCTGCATTGGTGTACTGGCAATTTCTGCGATGGGCTGACACACCGGTAAGTGCTGATGCAGATCTTGTCATCAATTTCACTGTTGGCGAATCCCTGGCTACCCTGGCTGACGAACTGGCCGATGCAAACTACATGTCTGATGAGTGGCGTTTAGTTCTGTTGGGTCGGTTTACTGGTGCGGATACCCGTCTGCAGGCCGGTGAATATCAGTTCGAACGAACGGCAACGCCGCGGCAATTGCTCAGCAAGCTGACCCGCGGAGATGTTGTTCGTCACGCCTTCCGTATTGACGAGGGTATTACCGTCCTGCAGCTGCTGCAGCAGCTGCGCAAGCATCCGGCGTTACAGCATACCCTGCAAGCCAGAGATGCCCAGAGCCTGGCAGATGCCCTGGCGCTGTCAAAGGCTTCTGCTGAGGGTTTATTTTTTCCTGACACTTATCAGTTTACTCGGGGTCATACTGATGTGCAGCTGCTGCAACGCGCAGCGGCAGCGCTTGATACGGCATTGATGGAAGTCTGGCAGAACCGCAGTGAGCGCTCTGTTTTAGACAACCCTTACGAATTACTGGTGCTTGCTTCAATCATAGAAAAAGAAACGGGTCGTGCGGAAGATCGCGAGCAGATCAGTCAGGTGTTTCATAAACGACTGGCGGACAATATGCGTTTACAGACAGACCCTACAGTTATTTATGCGCTGGGCGAGGACTTTGATGGCGACTTAACCCGCGCGCACCTGCAGGTTGAGTCACCTTTTAATACTTATCGCGTTCGGGGCCTTCCACCAACGCCGATTGCAACCGTCTCACGTGCCTCACTGCATGCCGCCGCACACCCGGCATCGGGTGAATATGTCTACTTTGTCGCAAAAGGCGATGGGGCCAGTCAGTTTTCCCGCACCCTGGCTGAACACAACAAAGCTGTGCGCAAATACCAGCTGGGGTTGACGGAGTAATCATGGCCAAGCCAGGCAAATTCATCACACTCGAAGGCTCTGAAGGGGCTGGTAAATCCACCAGTCTCGATTCACTTTGCCAACATCTTGCCAGCGCAGGTATTGATGTTTATCAAACCCGCGAACCTGGTGGGACGCCGATGGCGGAAGCCATACGTGAGGTGATGCTGGCAGATTGGCAGGAAAGTGTCAGCGGTCTAACCGAGCTTCTATTAGTGTTTGCCGCGCGACACCAGCATTTGATCCATGAAATCAAGCCGCGCCTGGCCTGCGGGCAGTGGGTTGTTTGTGATCGCTTTACCGATGCTTCCTACGCTTATCAGGGTGTTGCGCGGGGCACACCGCTGGCTTACGTATCGGCTTTGGAAGATTGGGTGCAGGAGGGGCTGCGGCCTGACCTGACGTTGTACCTGGACCTCGATCCGGAGATTGGGCGAAAACGCATAGCCGACCGCGAACAGGATCGGATGGAAAATGAACAGGCTGAATTTTATCGGGCGGTAAGAGCGGGTTATCTGCAGCGCGTGGAAACAGAACCTGCAATGCAGTTGATAGATGCCAGTCAATCAATCGTATCGGTGCGTGCTGCCATGCTTGCGATAGTGGATCCCTTTATCCAGCAGAGTCTGGCGTGAATACGTTTTATCCCTGGCACAGTGATTTGTCACAGCGTCTGACACGGCAGCGCGATGAAAACAAGCTGCCTAATACACTGGCGTTGACCACTCCACCCGGGTGGGGACATAGACAGCTGCTCAGAGATATTGCGGGCATGCTGTTACAGACACCCCTGCCAGACAATGAAAACGAGTTTGCTCACCCTGATTTTCGGTGGGTAGAGCCAGATGGGGCGGAAATTAAAATAGCTGAAATACGCCGGGTCACTGAATTCGCTGTACAAACCTCACAGATAGCGCCGCGCAAGGTTGTGGCCATTTTTGATGCCCATCTGCTTAATCGCGCAGCGGCCAATGCGCTACTGAAAACGCTGGAAGAGCCTCCTCCAAATACCCACCTGGTGCTTGCCACCCCGTTTTGGAGTCGTCTGATGCCCACCGTGCGCAGTCGCGCTCAGCGTTACAGTCAGCGTCCGGATCATACTGCTGCGCGTAGCTGGCTTGAGCAGCAGGGGGTTTCAATTTCAGATGTCGATTATGCAACCGCGGGCTATGCACCGTTGAATGCCCTTGAGACTGCCGGCGGTGCATCGCTCGAGAAATGGCTGGAGAGCCTGCCTCGTATCGATCTGGCCGCGGCGCTTGAACAAGCCCAGAGCGCTGGTGTCATGATCTGGCTCGATCAGTGGTACCGGCGATTGCTGGCGCATCTGAGCGACGCCCCCCTTGCGGGAATACAGGCTGAAGCGGCTGCAGTTTTGAGTTTTACAGATGCACTTTTGTCTGCCAGGCGGCAGATTGATACCTCGAATTCAGCCAATCAACGTCTCCTGCTGGAAGCGTTGATTGTGCGCTGGGTTGCGCTGTCGCGAAGAAGTAGCGCTTAAGCCGGTGAAACTGCGGCCTGCTTCATACTTTAGCCATTGACAGCAGTCAGAGCGCACTCGAGTATAGTGTCAGGCCGGGTCGAAAGGGTTTCTGCTCGGTGCTTGTTATCACGAATATGAAAACAGGATGTTTGATTCATGTCTGTAGCGAAACGCGGTGTCAGAAACGGAATACTGTCTTTGGCGATCAAAGATAAAGCCGTTCTTTACGCGGCTTACATGCCATTTGTGCAGAATGGCGGCCTGTTTATTCCCACCAAAAAAGAATATGACCTGGGTGATGAGGTATTCATGTTGCTGAACCTCATGGACGAGGCTGAAAAAATACCGGTTGCCGGGAAAGTCGTCTGGATCACCCCGAAAGGTGCCCAGGGTAACCGCGCGGCCGGCATTGGTGTGCAGTTCAATGACCAGGACGATGTGGCCCGCAGCAAAATCGAAACCTATCTCGCCGGAGCGTTACAGTCCGACCGCCATACACACACCATGTAAACTCTGTTTGTGTTTGTTGACTCTCACTGCCACCTGAATTATCTCGAAGACCCAGTCGGGGCCATCGAACGCGCGCGCGAGCGCGGCGTGAACGAGTGTCTGTGTATTGGCGTTGATCAACCTGCTATTGAAGAAGTGCTGCAGTTTGCGGCCGACTATGAACATATCTGGGCCAGCGTTGGTGAACACCCCGGTAGCTGTAGTGGTGATGCATCCTGGGTGACTGAATATATGCACCGCCCGAAGGTGGTGGCCCTGGGCGAAATGGGTCTGGACTATCACTATGTTGAAGACCCTGCTGCCCAAGCGCTGCAGCGCGAAACTTTTGCCCAGCAACTGGCGTTGGCAGACGAACACAACTTTCCGGTGATCATACATACACGTGCTGCCCAGGAGGACACGCTGGCACTTATTCGTGATTTTCCCGGCGTCACCGGTGTTCTGCACTGTTTCACTGAATCCTGGGCGCTGGCCAGCGCGGCCATCGAGCTGGGCTACTACGTATCAATTTCAGGGATTGTTACGTTTAAGAATGCCGCCAACGTCAGAGAGGTTGCGCTGCAGATTCCAGATGAGCGTCTGCTGATCGAGACCGATGCGCCTTATCTGGCGCCGACGCCTAATCGTGGTAAAAAAAACGAACCAGCCTTTGTCACAGACACTGCTGCATTTCTAGCTGAATTGCGCGGTGTTGAGTTGCACACGCTGGCGCAAAATACCCGGGATAACTTTTTTCGCCTCTTCAGTCGCGCGGGCTGAACACTTCCTCAAACAACCGATAGTGTGTTTCGTACATACCTGTCTGGCGATAAGTCTGTTGTGCTGGTGTGTTGTCCTGTTCGACGTAGAGTCTGATTCCACAACTTAAGTTATCTGTTTGCGCCTTCGCCCGCACGGCCTCGTGCAATGCGCTATAAACCCCTTTGCGCCGATGTTCCGGCGCCACATAAACACTTTGAATCCACCAGAATCGTCCGGCACGCCAATCGCTCCATTCAAAGGTTACCATCAGCGTGCCCGCAAGTTCGCCGCGGTTTTCCGCGACCAGATAAAAACCTTCCGCGGGATGCTCTAACAGGTGGCTTATGCCTCTCTGCAAAACCGCTTCATCCAAACCGGCGTCTTCAGTCTCAGCTGCCATCGCGCGATTGCTGGCAACGATGAAGGTGAGGTCTGAAACGCCAGCCGCTCTGACAACAATGTCATTCCTGTGGTTCTGAGTGCTCACGTGTTCAGGTGCCGGTTAAAAAACCCGAGAATCATGTTGAACCGGTGAATAGATACATCCTGCTCCTGCATAGAGTGTTTTGCGCCTGGGTAGGTCATCAAGTCAAAAGGTTTGCCCAGGTGTTGCAACCTGGCCATGATCTGGGTGCTGTTGGTGAACAGCACGTTATCGTCAGCCATGCCGTGCATTAACAGCAGCGGGGCGCTCAGCGCATCAATGTGAGACAAAACGTTGGCGTTGGCGTATCCCTGTTCATTTTCAGCAGGTAAACCCATGTAGCGTTCGGTGTAATGTGTGTCGTACAGCCGCCAATCACAAACCGGCGCGACGGCTACGCCAGCCGCGAAGTGTTGTGGGGCCAGACTTAAGCTCATAAGGGTCATATAGCCGCCGTAGCTATGGCCAAAAATCCCCACGCGATTCAAATCAGCCCAGGCGTGTTTTTTCAAGGCCTGCAAACCTGTCACCTGATCCTGCACTTCGACGTGACCCATGTTGCGATAGATAGGTGACTCAAAATTGATGCCGCGATTGCCGCTGCCGCGATTATCGATTTCCAAAACCGCAAAGCCATTCTGGGCAAACAGCTGTACAGTTAACGGACTCCATTCGCGTTTTGCTTTCTGCGGACCCGGGCCACCATAAACATAAACGACAGTGGCGTGCTGGCCGGATATTTCTGACGGCGGTGTCAGCCTATAAAATATCTCTTGGCCATCATCTGCAGTCACACTGCCGAAATCTGCGGTCGCATGCATCGGCAGGAATGGGTGGTAGGGGTGTGTAGAACCAAATGCCTCCGTCCACAACACTTTTCCCGGGCCACCTTCAATGTCACGCAGATCAATGCTTGGGGGCAGACTTTCATGGCTGTATCGATCAATGAAGGTGTTGGCGTCCGGCGCAATCACAACGTCATGCCAACCCTCCTGTGTGGTTATCTGGCGCCATGGGTCGCCGGCCAGTGAAATTTCAAAAAGATGATTTTCAATGGGTGTCTGGTCCCAACCGGAAACGAATACGCGATCGTCACAGATGTGCCGTATACCATTGATATGTGTCGGGCAGGCCAGTTCAATACACTCGCCTGCACCGTCGAGTAAATATAACTGATTGGTGCCGCTGGATTCGCTGCTGATCAGAATCCGGTTCGGTTCAATGATAGTCAGATCGTCATTCAGATTGATCCAGCTTGAGCTGCTTTCTTTGTGCAGCAGCTGCCATTGGGTATCGTCGCTGTTCAAGTCCAGGTGTTTCAGGCTCAGGGTCTGCTGGCGTCTGTCCTGGGTCTGAATGTACACACCGTGAGCTTTTACCTGTACTCGGGCGAGGTAAGCATCATCGTTGTCAATTTCTGTGCTGTCCTGCCAGATACACCGGTTGCTGCTGTCTTGCAGATCGAACATCCACAAACTGACTCTGGGGTTGTCGGCGCCGGCGTAAGGGTAACGCTGTTGAATGGTTTGCGCGCCATCAGCCTGCATTTCCAGACGGTAGCTTATCGCTACGGTCGATTCATCAACCTTGCAATACACCATAAAACGACTGTTAGGGCAGAACCAATGGCCACGGAAACGGTGCATCTCTTCAGCGGCTAGAAAGTCCGGTAGACCGTTGCTTAAGGTAGGGCTAGCATCCGCAGTAATCTGACGCACGCCGCTGCTGGATTTAGCTAATGGCTGTTCCGGATCCAGGGGTAAAACAAACAGATCACCGTTCTGCACAAAGCTCAGCCAGCACCCGTCTGGAGAAATCTGAAAAGCACTCTGGCGTTTATCTTCAGGTGTCATCACAACGCTGTTGATTGCAGGTTTCGATACGTCGATAAATAGAGCCTGACCATTCATGGGAGCAAGCAAAACGTCGCTGTCGGGGTGCCAGCTGAATTCGGTAAAGCCATGGTTGAACTGGCGACGTCGCTCTCGTTCAGCGCGTTCAGCATCAGTCAGTTCGGCGACGTTGAGGCTTTCGCCTTGCAGCAAACGTGCATCAATCCATTCTTCGTGCGCCCCAGTTTGCAGGTCAACGCGCCACAGATCCATGCGTTCGCGGTCATCTTCGGCCGCCCGGCGATAACAGGCAAATTGACCACAAGGGGAGAATTTCAACTCACCGGGCAGCCCACCTGTTAGCGGCGGATCACTGAACAGTCGCTTCGGAGTCAGGCGATCGATGCTCATGTGCTGATGTTCTTGAATGCGTTACGGGTCAGATTTTCAACACCGGCTGCGAGCACCCTGACATTGTCTTCGATACGAATACCACCATATCCTTGCAGGGCCTCGACAACGTTCCAATTGATCAGATTTCGTTTTCGTGTGTTTGCTTTTGCATCTGCCAGTAGTGACTGAATGAAGTACAAGCCCGGCTCGATGGTGAATACATGATTCAGGTCAACGGCTCGGGTAAAGCGAAGGTTTGGATACTGTTCTGGGGGTGGCGCGCTGTTGCCCTTGTCGTCCGCCAGGTGGCCACCAACATCATGCACCTGCAGCCCCAACAAGTGACCTAAGCCGTGGGGGCAGAAATCTTCTGTAACAGCGTCCTCAAAAGCCTGCTCAGGGCTACAGCTAACCAGGTCAGCATCGGCCAGAACCTGTCCAAGTTGCTGGTGCATCTGCACATGCAGGTCAGCAAAAGTCACGCCCGGTCGGACACTGTCAATCAGTGCCAGTTGGTGAGTCTCCATGGCATCAATCAGGTTTCTGAACAGCTCATGATCAGCACCCTTTGCGGCATAAGTTCTGGTGATATCTGATGCAAAACCCCGGTAACTACCACCAGCGTCAATCAACAGGCTTCGGCAGGGTTCCGGGACCGTGCGATCCTGGAATTGATAATGCAACACACTGCCGTGTTCGTTGAGAGCAACAATGTTGCCATAAGGAAGATGAACCTCTGATTGCTTCGAACCGACGAGGTAGGCCATGTGAATGTCAAATTCACTGCCACCCTGATGGAAACAGGCCTCTGCTGCAAGATGGCCGGCGGCACCTATGTCACTGGCGATGCGCATTACGGCAAGCTCGTAGGTTGTTTTATGCGCGCGATGGAAATGCAAATAGGCAGTTAGAGCGGCTGGGTTGGCCTCGCCGAACGACTCATTCGACCCGTCTTCGGGCCCAATGAACGCCATTGTATCGCCAGCTTGCACGTGCTGCTGGCAGGCATTCAAAAGCTCCGCCGGTTCCGCAAAAGGACGGATATCCAGAAAAGGCGCCAGCGTTTCCGGTAACGGTGAGTGGGCGTGCCAGTAATCTGTAGGCTGGTGCAGGAACAGCACCGGTTTATGTCCAGGTCGTATCAGTAGTCGCGCGCCTGGATTAAGGAATTCTGGTGCTACCCACTGTGCCAGGTACGGATTCGGTTTGAAGCGGGGGCCGTGATCGTCCTGGAAATCAAAAATGGCTTCGCCGGCACTCAGCCAGGCACCATCAAACTGATGTTGTTCAAGGGCCCGGCTCCAGTGACTTTCAAGATGCCGGATGTGATCAGCCAGGTGTTGGTCTGGTTCAGCAGTCTGTGCGGTGGTCTGGTCAAGGGTGATGGTAGCGCTCCTCGGGTTCATAAAGGTGTGAGTGTAAGGCGGTGGCAGTAAACCCGCCAGAGAGCTTTTCGCAAACCACGCGCCGTGATAGATTCGCTGCTCGTTTTTCTAAGGGGATACTGATGGGAGCATACGCATATGTGGCGCCTGCAACGGTGGATGCACTTGTTGCCGTGCTTGATGAACACGTAAAAAGCGGCGAGCGCGCTCAGGTCATTTCCGGCGGTACCGATCTGCTGGTGCAGATGCGTTCTTTAGACAAGACCCCGCGCACGATTGTCGACATCAAAAAACTGGCTGAAACCAACCGCTGCGAAATCGGCGATGCTGAAATTTATATCGGCTCAGCCGTCAGCAGTGCCCTGATGAATGAAAATATGGCGCTGCATAAGCTGTTGCCAGGTCTGCTGGAGGCTGCGGATTTGATTGGCTCTACGCAGATTCAGGGCCGCGCCACCATTGGCGGCAATCTGTGTAACGCAAGTCCGGCAGGTGACAGTATCCCGGCGATGATTGCTGTGGGTGCGGTATGTGATATTGCCGGTGGTTCTGGTCCGCGCAGCATACCGGTGGAAGAATTTGTGGTTGGTGTGGGCAAGAACGCGCTGGCGCCAGGCGAGGTGCTCCTCGGTTTGAAAATTCCGGTCCCCGGACCGCGGCAGAGTAGCGCTTATTTGCGTTTCATCCCACGAACCGAGATGGACATTGCTGTTGCCGGTTGTGGTGTCAGTCTGACTCTGGACGATAAAGGTGTTTGTACAGCTGCTCGGGTTGCCATTGGTGCGGTGGCGCCAACCGCTCTGCTGGTACCTGCGGCGGCAGACGCGCTGATTGGCACAACCTTGGATGATGCAGCTATTCATGCAGCGGGTGAAGCGTGCACTGCTGCAGCTTCTCCAATTTCGGATAAACGCGGCACCGTTGAATACCGCAAAAAAGTGGTGGCGGTCCTCGCTCGACGTGCGACTGCAATTGCTAAACAAAGAGCTTTGGGAGCCTGAACCATGTCAAAAATGCATGTCACAAGTCGTATTAATGGAGAAGCACGTGAGTTTCTTTGTGACCCCAATCAAACCCTGCTGGACGTCCTGCGGGATGAGCTGGGTTTAACGGGTACTAAAGAAGGGTGCTCTACAGGTGATTGTGGTGCCTGTTCCGTGCTGGTCGACGGACGCCTGGTCTGCTCCTGTCTAATGTTGGGTGCTGAAGCTCAGGATAAGCTTGTCGAAACCATCGAAGGCATTGCCGGTGATGAACTGCATCCCATTCAACAGAAATTTCTCGAACATGCAGCTTTGCAGTGCGGTATCTGTACGCCTGGTTTCATCGTTGCCACCAAGGCGCTGCTGGAGAAAAACCCTGATCCTGACGAAAAGACGATTCGTTACTGGTTAGCAGGCAATCTTTGCCGTTGTACCGGTTACGATAAAATTATCCGCGCAGTTCAGGACGCGGCTAAAGAACTTGCTCACCCGGCTTAACTGCGCGTGGCTAAACTTGTTAACGTTGGTTCGCTGTGCATCGATCTGGTCTATCCGGTGCCCTCGATCGTAAAAGCGGGTGAAACACTGGCCAGTGGTGCGCGCCAGGTGTTCCCTGGTGGTAAAGGCTTAAACCAGTCGATTGCGGCAGCCCGCGCCGGCGCTGAAGTTAAACACTTCGGTGCTGTGGGTGAGGACGGCGATATGCTGCTTGAGCAATTGCAGCGCGAAGGTGTGGACACGACGGGTGTACAGCGCCTCACGGGACCCTCTGGCCAGGCCATTATCCAGGTGGATGCCCAAGGGCAAAACGCAATTGTCATCAGCGGTGGCAGTAATCGGCAGCTTTCTACCGAACTGATCAAACAGGCGGTTGCGCAGTTACAACCGGGCGACTGGGTGCTGTTGCAGAATGAAGTCAATGACGTTGGCGAGATCATGGCTCAGGCCGCTGAGACGGGTGCAAACATCGCGTTTAACGTCGCACCCCCGGATGAGCGAATCTTCGAGTATCCGATCGAGTTGCTGAAACTGCTGGTGGTGAATGAGCCGGAAGCTATGGCGCTGGCTCGGCAGGACACGCCGCAGGCGGCCTTTGCAAGTCTGCTTGCGCGTTATCCACAGACCCATGTTGTGCTTACCCGGGGTAAAGATGGTCTCATGTGCTATGACGCAGATACCCGGCGGCAGCATGAAATGGGTACATTTGATGTTACCCCGGTAGATGAAACTGCTGCGGGCGACGCCTTTGTTGGGTATCTCCTGGCGGCGCTCGTTGATGGCAAACCTTTGCTGGATGCGATGCCCATGGCCAGTGCAGCAGGGGCTCTGGCTGTGACAGCTGCAGGAGCTGCACCATCAATTCCCAGCGCCGATGCGGTAACTGCTTTGCTGGAGGCTCAGCCCCACGCCATTCAAGCCTGAAGCAGACAAGTTCTTCTGCTCAGACTCTGGGTTTATGGGAACTGTAGACCGGTAATCGAGCTTAAAGCCTCTATGGCCTGATCTTCGTTCAACACTTTTATCGTCTGCATACCTAACGCCCTGGCAGGTTTCAGGTTGATACCCAGATCGTCGAGGAACACGGCCTGGTCAGGCGCAACACCGAGGCGCTTGCAGGTGAGAGTGTAAATGTCCGGGTTTGGTTTACGAATACCTTCCTCACTGGATTGAATGACCAGGTCGAAAGTGTCCATCACTTCGGCGATAGCCGCTGCTTTGGTATCGCTGCGGCTCATGCCTGGTCCATGTCCTGCTTTCACGTTATTGGTTATACACGCCACTTTAAAATGTTGTTTGCATAGTTTGAGCACGTTAAACATGCGTGGTCGCAGGTCGCCACTGAGACGGGCGATGACGTCGCGACCGGGAATAGGGTGCCCGGCGGCACGTGATTCTGCTGCGAACAGTTCATCAAATTCTTCAAGGCCGATCTGGCTTGACTCAAATTGGGCCCATGCGTTGGACTCGGGATTGGTTGCGTTAATGGTTCTGATGAAGTCTTTGGGTGCACCAATACTGGCCTCTAGGACGTTAAATGCTTCAAAAGGACTGGATGTCAGGACGCCGCCGAAGTCCCATAAAATGGCTGATATAGACTGGGTCAAAAGTCACTCCAAACTGACGCTCAGGCAGCTGCCTGGCTTGTAAAAAATGCGAACTATAGGCGTTTGCGGTAAGCCTTGGCAAAGTTTTATGTCGATCACAGGTGCGGATTGGTTCTAGTTCGGCGAGAAACGATATCCAACTCCGCGTACAGTCTGGATCAGGTGATGCAGGTCATAGGGCTGCAAAATTTTTCGCAGGCGTAAAACATGCACATCGACGGTGCGCTCTTCCACATAGACGCTGCGGCCCCACACGCGATCGAGTAGCTGGCTGCGATCGAATGCGCGTTCCGGGTGTCGCATCAGTAGTTCCAGCAGACGATACTCAGTGGGTCCCATATGAATAGGCTCGTCACCGATGCTGACTCGATGGCTGGTCAGATCCAGTTTGATTCCGCCGACTTCTAACAGGTTATCTTCGGGTGCGCCGGTGCGTCGCAGCAGTGCTTTTACCCGGGCCATGAGTTCTTTGGGTGAAAATGGCTTGGTGACGTAGTCATCAACGCCAGAGTCGAAACTCTTAAGTTTGTCCGCTTCTTCGCCTCGTGCGGTAAGCATGATTATCGGCAGGGAAGCCGTTAGCTCGTCCAGCCGCAGACGCTTGGCCAGGTCTATGCCACTCATTCCCGGTAACATCCAGTCTACGACCAACAATTCCGGCAAGCCCCGATCGAGAAGTTGCAGCGCCTGCTCAGCGGACTCAGCGGTGACGACGTCGTGACCCGCTCGAGTGATAGTGAAGCTGAGTAATTCGCGAATTTCCGGTTCGTCTTCGACCACCATAATTGAAGGCGCCATGCAGGTTTACTCTTTCTTTTACTGAGTTCTGTGAGTGATTCTTGATGTTGGAAAAACCCTTCCAGCAGAAGTATGAATCATCCGGCTTTAGTTCGCATTAAATCGACGTTTGCATTAAATCGACGAAATATGACGTTTGGATGACGTTGGAACGCGCTTCAGCGACCTGCCAGTTATCGAAAAATTGCCTTTTTCGGACAATCCTCTTGCGACAATTTGCTGGGAGTTTTAGGGTTCTTGCGGAATTAAACCAGTACGGGGAAATTGAATATGGGCTCTGATATCTCACTGACTACGCCGGACAACTTTAAGCTCGGCGCTTACATTGCCGAACCTGCCGGTCCGCCTAAAGGTGCCGTTGTCGTGATCCAGGAAATATTTGGCGTGAACAGCCATATCCGTGAAGTCACCGATGGCTATGCCCAGGCGGGTTACTGGGCAATTGCGCCAAAGATATTTGATCGCATCGAAGCAGATATTGAACTGGGTTACACCGAATCGGACATGGGCACAGGGATTGAACTGGCATTTCAGAAACTCGATATGCAACAGACGCTTGCGGATCTGCAGGTGGCGATTAATGAAGCAGGCAAACACGGCAAAGTCGGCGTCGTCGGATACTGTTTTGGTGGCCTCCTGACCTGGCTCAGCAGTTGCCAGCTGGAAGGTGTGGCGGCGGCCAGTTCGTACTACGGCGGTGGTGTTGCCGGACAACTGGACAATACGCCAAAGTGTCCTGTGATTTTCCACTTTGGAGAACTGGACGTGCATATTCCAATGAGTGATGTGGAAGCCGTTAAAGCCGCTCAACCAGATTCACCAGTCTACGTTTATGCCGCGGATCACGGGTTCAATTGCGATCATCGTGAGAGCTACAACGAGGCGGCGTCCAAATTGGCGTTGCAGCGAACGCTGGATCATTTCGCCAGTCATTTAACTGCTTAATGCTGCAAAACGTCAGGTGATCGTGAACAACAAACTTCAATATCAAGCCGGTGGGCGAGCATTGCTTACATATCGAATGCCCTCGTGCTTGACATCTACAGGGGGTTTGTTGATCCTTCGAGCACGGAATGGGGTGGGCGAATCAAATTTCTCCCCGGTTAGCGCTGCTAAGCGTTTTGTGTAACTTTTGGTGACATAAAGCGTTGATCAGTGAATAAAAAGACACTTGCCGCATGCAATCAACGAATCCTGTCGGGTAGTCCGCTACTTGACCGGCGTTGGGTATGTGTGAAGTGAAAAGAAAGAACGGATCTTTCCAGTAGGAAGTTGTAATGAAAAATCATATGCAAAGGTTAACCACCTTACGGCGCGTCACGGCGTTGCTTGGGGTGCTGGTTTTCACGACTAGCACAGCCACCGTATCCGCGACGACGTTGTCGGATATCTTTCAGGTTGCAGAACGGATAAATCAGTCCGCTATTCGGTCGCAGTCAAAAATTGATGCATTGACCGAAGAAACGCGCGAGTTGCTGAGCACCTACAAAACGGTGCTGAAAGAAATTGAAGGCTTGCGGGTTTACAACCGTCAGCTGGAAAAGCAGATTGGCAACCAGGAAACTGAAATGACCGAGTTGGCAGCTGCCATCGACAAAGTAACGGTCATTGAGCGCCAGATCACGCCACTTATGCTGCGGATGATCGATGGTCTCGAACAGTTTGTGGAGCTTGATATTCCGTTCCTGCTGGATGAACGCACTGATCGCATTGATCGTCTGCGTGAAATGATGGATCGTGCAGATGTGGCGGTCTCCGAGAAGTTCTCTCAGGTTTTACGTGCATTCCAGATTGAGAATGACTACGGACGAACAATGGAAACTTACGGTGACACGATTGTTATCGGCGGTACCGAGCGCAAAGTGGACATCCTTAAAGTAGGCCGTATTGCCCTGGTCTACCAGACACCTGACGGTGGTGAGACGGGTATGTATAACCGCAACTCACAATCCTATGAACCAATTGATGACGAATACCAGTCTTCTATCCGCCAGGGTATTCGTATGGCGCGGCAGCAAGCCACGCAGGATTTGTTCAGCATTCCGTTACACGGCGCGGAGGCAGCACAATGAGCACATATTCTATGAAAATTATGACACTGTTACGCGGTCTGCTACTGAGCGGCTTGCTGGCAATTGCACCGGCAAGCTTTGCCGAAGAAGCTGCTGATGCAGCTACACCAGCGAGTGACCTTGCGGTAACCGAGGCGAACTCACTTGATCAATTGCTCGACAATGTTGAGCAGCGACGAGTGGTTGAATCGCGAGAGCATACCGCACGCGAGCGTCGTTTTGCTCAGGATCGTGCTAACCAGGCGAAACTGTTACAGGATGCCCAGGCTGAACGCACACGTGAAGAGCGTCGCTCGGACCGGCTTGAGACCACGTTTGAAGAAAACGAAATTCGCATCGGCGATCTTACCGAGCAGCTGGACAAGCGCTTAGGCAGTTTGCGTGAATTGTTTGGCGTGCTGCAGCAGGTAGCTGGTGACACCCGTGGTTTGTTCGAGGCTTCATTGATTTCGTCACAATATCCTAACCGCGGTGAGTGGTTGGATGCGCTGGCTAAGAAGATGGGTACCGCAAGCCAGTTGGCAACCATTGAAGAAATGGAAACACTCTGGTTCGAGCTTCAGCGTGAAATGACTGAATCTGGCAAAGTTTCACGTTTCCCGGGCACCATAACCAAACTGTCTGGCGAAAAAGTTAATACCGATATCGTTCGCGTGGGGTCTTACGCGTTGCTCGGTGAAGGTGAATACCTGCAATGGGATGCAGACACTCAATCTATTATTGAACTGGCTCGCCAACCTTCCGGCCGGCACGTCTCCACTGCGGCTGCGGTACAGGAATCTGCCGCTGGCGAGATTGTTGAATTTTCTGTTGACCCATTACGCGGTTCTCTGCTCGCGCTGTTGATTCAGGCTGCCACTATCGGTGAGCAGGTTGGTTCGTTAGGCGCAGTTGCTGAATGTTACCTGCCTTTCTGTGATGGACAGGGTGGTACGGTAGGCGCGATTATTATTCTGGGTGGATTTATTGGTGTCCTGCTTGCGCTGGAACGCCTGTTAACTCTGACCATGATTGGCGCGAAGGTGAACGCTCAGCGCAAGAACCCAACGCCAAGCGACGACAACCCACTGGGTCGAGTCCTCAAGGTTTATGATGAAAACAAAGAAGTTGATGTCGAGACGCTGGAGCTGAAGCTTGGTGAAGCGATTCTCGGGGAGACGCCGAAGTTGACGCGAAACATTACCTTGATTCAGGTGATCTCTGTAGTAGCTCCGTTAACCGGTCTGTTAGGAACGGTTATCGGTATGATCGAGACGTTCCAGGCAATTACGCTGTTTGGTGCAGGTGATCCGAAGACTATGGCGAGTGGTATTTCAAAAGCCTTGATGACCACCGTTCTGGGTCTGTGTGTTGCAATTCCAACAACGCTGTTGCACGCACTGGTTAATGCCCGCTCGAAGTCTGTTATTCATGTTATTGAAGAGCAGAGTGCAGGCATTATTGCGGATCACGCTGAAAAATCCGGCCAGCCCTTAGGTTAAGGGCTGGATGATCGGCATAACAAATAGGAGCAATCGATAGATGTTAGGCGACGCTTATCTCGCGATTATCCGCTTCATGGAAATGGGAGGTGATGTGCTCTGGCTCATCGCCCTCATCACTTTCCTGATGTGGACCCTCATCTTCGAAAGAATGTGGTTCTTCTATACGGAACACAAAAGCCTGGTACGAGAGTCCACCGAAAGGTGGGAAGGACGTGCAGAGCGGACCTCATGGAGCGCGCGCCAAGTACGTGAAGCCATGATTTCTGACGCGTCGGATCGTATAACAGGATCGTTGCCCATCATTCAGACATGTGTGGCATTGTGTCCACTGTTTGGCTTGCTGGGCACCGTTACCGGCATGATCGCGGTGTTCGACGCAATGGCGACCCAGGGCGGCAATGCGCGCTCTATGGCCGCCGGCGTGTCGATGGCCACCATACCAACAATGTCAGGTATGATTGCCTCATTGTCCGGTCTTGTTGGCAGCACCTGGTTGCGACGTAAAGTGGATTATGAAGTTGAATTGTTCGAAGACCACCTGACGTTGGATCACTAAGTCGACATACCAGGTATAGATCTGTTGAGGTGCCCCGTTTGCGGGCACACTAATGGGGCGTAGGAGGAATAGATGCGCAGAGGAAGAGTGAGACGTAGGGGCGGCGGAGATGAGGATGCAGATATCAACCTCACACCGATGCTGGACGTGGTTTTTATCATGCTGATCTTCTTCATTGTGACAGCCACTTTCATTAAGCAGGCTGGTATTGAAGTATCACGTCCTGAAGCGGTCACAGGGGAACAGAAGCCTACAGTGGCGATGCTGATCGCGATTGCGCCAAACGGCGACATCTGGATCGATAAGAAGCGTGTCGACCCCGCAACGGTCAGGGCACACATCGAACGCCTTCACTCGGAAAACCCCAAAGGCGGACTGGTCGTTCAGGCCGACAAAGAATCAACCAACGAAAAGCTTATGGCAGTGCTTAGCGCGGCGCGAGCCGCAGGGTTACGTGAAGTGGCTATTTCGACTGAGAAAAACTAGCGAGGGCATCTCATGATTGTACGCTATGCAATTGGCGTTGGGCTTGGTGCAATAATCACCTTCCTACTGTTTTTGATCATGCAGGCGGTAATCGCCAACGATGAGGCAAAAATTGAAGATGGCGTGAAAGGCAAACTCCTGGACATGGTGCGCCTTGCCGAAGATGAAGATATACAAACGAAGCAGCGTAAACCCACGCCTCCGCCTCCACCGGATGAGCCGCCACCGGATATGCCCAAACCTCAGTTTGATTCCTCTGATGTCTCCCAAGGTGTGGATATCGGCGCAGTTGATGTCAACGTTTCGTTAGACGTTGGTGGGGGTGGGTTCAGCTCTGACGGTGAGTACCTGCCTATTGTGAAGGTTGCACCGGTTTATCCCCGGCGCGCTCAGACACGTGGTATTGAAGGTTACGTGGTTCTTGAATTCATCGTGACAAAAACCGGCGCAGTACGCGATCCGGTGGTCATTGAAGCAAAACCACCGGGCATTTTCGACCGATCTGCAATTAACGCCGCGCTGAAATTCAAATATAAGCCTAAGGTGGTGAATGGCGATGCCATTGACGTAGCCGGGGTCCGTAACCGCATCACCTTTGAACTGGCTGATGGATAGGAGTTGGTTATGAATCAGTTACTTAGAGCAATCACAGTCGCTCTTGTTGTTATGGGTTTTCTGACTCTGAGCCCGTTGGGTATCAGTACGGCCAATGCAGCGGAAGAAAGCGAAAAACCGGTGAAAACCCGTCGCGTGCCGTCAATGAGTGAAATGGTTTACAAAAAGCTTTCGGAGGGCCAGGAAGCGATAGATGCAAAAGATTACAACCTTGCGTTGCAGGTTTTGCAGGATATGCTCGATCGATCCAAGCGTTATAATGGTAACGAAATCGGTCAGGTCCACAGCATGATGGGGTATGTGTACTTCCTCAAAGAGGACTACGCAAACGCGATCAAAGAATACAAAATGGTTGTAGCGCAGGGCGAAGACATCCCGGAAGGTCTTGAGCAGACTACGCTTTATACACTTGCACAGCTGTCTTTTGTTGAAGAGAATTTTGACGACGCGCTGCGTTTCATGGAGACGTTCATCTCCAAAGCCAATAACCCCGGTCCCGAACCACGAATTTTCATGGGCCAGGTTTATTATCAGATGAAAGATTTTGGCAAGGCCATCGGGCAGATGGAATCTGGCATTGCTATGGCCCGAGAGCGTGGGCTGGATATCAAAGAGAACTGGTGGCAGCTGATCAACTATCTCTACTATGAACAGGAAAACATGCCTAAGGTGATCGAGACTTTAGAAATTCTCGTCCGAGATTTTCCGAAGCGTGACTACTGGGTTCGGCTGGCAGGAATGTATGGCCAGGAAGGTCGAGAAGATTTGCAGCTCAAAACCCTTCAGGCAGCCTATGCTGGAGATTACCTGGACAAGCAAACTGACCTGACAAACCTTGCAGGTCTGCTGATGCAGATAGAGATTCCCTACAAAGCGGCTAAGGTGCTTGAAAAAGGACTGGCAGATAAGGTTGTAGAACGCGACTCCAAAAACCTGCGCGCTCTAGGCCAGGCCTGGCAGCTGGCGCAGGAAGTTGATAAAGCAATTCCGGTTCTGGAAGATGCCGCAAAGCTGGCTGATGACGGCAAGATCTTTGATCAGCTGGCGTATCTATATCTCGAATCCGACCGCTATGACGATTGCATTCGCTCAGCTAATGGAGCGTTAGACAAAGGTGGCGTGCGGAAGAAGCAAAGTACGTACTTTGTGCGCGGCTTGTGTCTGTATAACCAGAACAATCTGAACGAAGCTCGTGGTTCTTTTGTTTCCTGTCGTAATGAGGCCCGAGCAAAAGACGATGAAACCAATCAGCGTACATGTTTGCAGTGGATTACGTTTATCGATCGTGAGAAGGATCGTCAGGCGCAACTCGCAGCGGCTGGTTGATCGTCTGTTTCATGTCGAAAAAGCCGGTCTAAGCGCCGGCTTTTTTGTGTCCGACTTATTGTTTCCATCTACGGAGAACGTCTGTGTTTACCGGTATTGTTCAGGATCTTGTAACCGTCCAGAAAATTGATGATCAAGGTGATCTGGTAAGACTCACCTTAGACATGGATGGTATGACGGATAAGCTCGTCCAGGGGGCCTCTGTTGCTGTCAACGGCACCTGTTTGACTGTGACCGGTGTCGATCAGGGTTGTGTGACCTTTGATGTTATTGTTGAAACCCTGCGCACGACTAATTTGCACGCGCTGATGGAAGGCTCCAGGGTGAACGTTGAAAGGTCGTTCAGAGTTGGGGACGAAGTGGGTGGGCATGTTGTTTCCGGGCATGTCACTACAACCGCAGAACTGGTACATCGGCACGCAGATGGGCACGAGCAGGTGCTGACATTCAGCCTTGCTCCGGAATGGATGAAATATGTTTTTCACAAAGGCTTTATTGCCCTGGATGGCGCCAGCCTGACGGTTTCCTCAGTGGACAAGGTTAAACACCAGTTTCAGGTGAGTTTGATCCCGGAGACTTTGGCGCGAACAACTTTGGGTAATGCGAGCTGCGGTATGCTGATCAATGTTGAAGTCGACGCTCAAACCGTGACCGCGGTCGATACAGTTGAACGCTTGTTTGCGGACCCAGCATGGCGTGCACAGGCTCTCGGCCAGTAACGTAGCCGATGGGTTATTGGCTGCGTTCTCGCTGTAGCTGGCGAAGATTACCGATCACGGATTGCAGTGCGCGATCAAAAACCTGAGATTCATCGATGCGCTTAAGGGTCTTGTTTTCAACCATTTCGGCAAGCTCACCGCGGTTTTTCTCCAGCACTTTCATGCCTCTTCGATTAACAAAAATATAGTTGTTCCCGGGCTGGGTGATGGTGGCAAGTTTGCAACGTAGCATCCGTTCGTCATCCGTAGAAATTTCGATCCAGGTGCCTTCGGTGATGAGCTTCAGTTGCTCTAAAGTAGCCTCTGGAAACGCACGTTCATCAACCACCTTGGGTGGTGATGTCAGGATGATTTCTTCCATAAGTGCTTCAGCGACATCGAGCTCGGGACGTTCGTCTTCTTCAAGATAAGCGCGATCATTGGCAGAAAGAGAGTAGAGGTGTTCTGTCAGCCAGGTCTGGAACGCTTCGGTCTCCTCATCAGGACAACCAAGCTCGGTCATACCCGTATAAATTTCTGTTACCAGGCTTTGCGTAAGCTGGTCGCGGCTTTCGACCTCGTCTAGGTTTGACAATGGTTGTAAGACCCATAACAAATCATCCAGAGTCTTAACGCCGGCATTCCACTGCGCAGAGGTTTCGCCTTGTTTTATGATGCGTAGCGTCAGCACCCGCGTCCAGGTTTCACTGATAAATTTGCCGGCTTCGCTGGGTAAACGCAGGCCGCAGGCCTTCTGATTCACCAGATTCTGCACTTTCAATTTGGCTGCCGTTGTTTTGGCTTTACCAACTTCAGATTCTTTGACGCGCTGCTCAACCAGCACGCTGCGCCGGCTGTCTTTGCTGACATATAAGCGCAGGTCGGTTAATAGTTCTGCAAACACGTCCGGATTGTCGTTGAATTCATTTAAAACACGCAACACGACAGATTCAATCTTGTTGTATAACGCGTCGCGCTTCAGTTCATTAGCGCTGCTCCATCCAATGCCTGCGCTGGACAACTCGTTAAGGAGCGCGCGGGCCGGGTGGGCTGTTTTTTCGAAAAAAGTTTTATCAATGATTGCCAGTTTGATAATCGGGATCTGCAATCGGCCAATCAGAGCTTTCATAGGGATCGCCAGATTGCGATCGTTGAGGATGTAGTCAAACAGCATGCCCACAAAGTTCACCGCATCATCATCAGCCTGGCCCAGCGATTTCTTGGCGGCGCTCGGTTGCGCCAGGACCAGCGAGCGAACATCGCTGAGTTCTGGTATTTGCTCGATGTTGATGGGGTCGACCTGCGCGGCATCCTGCAGTCGGCTTAGCACTTGAATCAATTCGCCTGAATCCAGTCGGGGCAGAGCCATCATCGGAGTGCCCGAACCTTCGCCATAGCCATTTTGAGCTCCGCCGGACTGATGCTCGGAAGCGCCGCCGCCTGAAGAAGCGTTAGATCCTGAAAGAAGCGCCTGAACGGTATCAAAGCCAAAACTTCCAGCTCCACCGGACATGCCGCTAAAACCGCCGGAACGGCCTGTCTTGCTGTTACTTTGCTGATGGCTGCTGCCTGTCCCTGTGTTGCGGGTCGTTGGCCCTGCTCGTTTAGGCGCCTTGTTTTTCAGCTCCGGCAATACATCTGCATCGATCAGTGCGCGATTGGCATTTTCATAGACCGGTCCCAGCCGTTCCATGACAAAACGCTCGAATAACTTCATCAGAATGATACGTATCTTGATATCGACTTCGAGTGTGTCCAGTGCGTTTGCGAACAGACTGCTTAACGCCTGGGGCCCAAGTGGATTATTGCGTTCGGTTATCGTCTGGCGTTTCGCAAGGAAATCCAGACGCTTGGTCAGTTGCATGACCGCAAGACTGTACTGACTGGTAACTTTTGAAACGATGCCTGAAACGGCAACGGTCATTTCTAACTCGTCCTGATCCAGCAAGGCGTAATCTTCGGCGTCGATCTCATCAGTTTCGTCTGCGCCAGCTGTGCCCGATGAGTTAAAGGCATCCTGAAAAGAATCATTGAGTCCGCGGACGAAATTAGACGCCAGGGTTTTACGATGTAATCGGATCATCCGCATCGAATCGAAATACATTTCCTGATGCTGGTCAGACTGGGAACGGTCAGCTAACTCGAACAATGCATCGTCAGTGTTGTTGAACAGGTTTTGCAGCAGCTCATTGATCTGCTTTTTGCTTTGCTGGCGAATGGTATGAACGATAGGGGGAAGCGTCGTTTTCTGATTCCCTTCAACGTTTAATTCTACGACCTTGACTTGGCTCACGGTGCTGCCCGACGGGTTTATTTGATCCCAATTACACCAATTTCCTGGCTTTGGAACTGAGTGCTGTCACACGTTTGAAGTGCGGTGCTGTTCACACCTTCAATGATGTCTGGTTCGGGTTAGCGTGCGTATGCAGTTGCGTGGAAATCACGCCAATCAAGGATGTCAGTTGCGGCACCAGATTTCAGTTGAACCCCTACAAAGTGAAGTTCCGTGCCGTTTTCATCGTATTCAGCAGTAGGGCGGCTCCAGCGTACTTCGCCGGCAAGGAAAAATTTGCCTGGGCGCGAGGCTACATCGACCCACAGGTCAAGCAGAGTACCTACGGGAACGGGTTGCACAGTTTTAAACTGGATGCCACCCATAGACATGTTGACCGCCGTGCAAGCCAGTGTTGCACCCACAAGATCCGGCTCATCAGCTGCCAGTACAACCTGGGTGAACAGACGATCTTCGCTTTCCAGACGTGGATGCATGCGCTTGTCGTTATTCGACATGCGGCGGACCCTGGCGCGATTAAATTCAATTATATTGTCTGTCATCTGACTCTCCCGACGTTTCCTCACATTGTCCCTGATGTAAGCAAAGCCTCTGGGTTAACCCTTGCGACTTGGTGCATTCATCCTGAAGCATCGGTAGGGCTGGTTGCAAGGAAAGAATGCTAATTCTATGCCATATAAATAAATTGTTTAATAACAACAGGATAGGTTCCATATGTTATTTTAATTGTAGAAGTTCGCGGGCCTTTTATGACGCAAAATGACGCTGCAGGGCAGGTCAGGCGGCGACTCCAATGCGATAGGAGCAGCCGTTCAGTGCTGCTGTTTGGTGCTTGGGGGTGCTTTGTCGTACCATGCGCGGCGATAAATTGTGGCGTACAAAATGACAGTATATGAAAAACTGGCGGCCGCCTGGCAACGTCAGAACTCGCTACTTTGCGTGGGGTTGGATCCCGACCTTGCGCGTATGCCTGATTTTATCGCCGGGTCTGAGGAACCGTTCTTTAACTTCTGTCGCGCGATAGTGGATGCAACAGCTGAGCATGTGTGCGCTTTTAAACCTCAATTTGCACACTTCGCAGCACAGGGTGCGGAGAACGAACTGGCACGGCTGATAGCCTATATAAAGTCCGAATACCCCCATATTCTTGTTGTGCTCGATGCAAAGCGAGGCGATATCGGCAGCACCGCTGAATATTACGTCCAGGAGGCTTATCAGCGTTATGACGCAGACGCAGTGACGTTAAGCCCATATCTGGGTTATGAAAGTGTGGCGCCCTATCTGGCGCATCATGACCGGGGTGTGGTCGTACTTTGCCGTACCAGTAATGCGGACAGTAACTGGTTGCAGAATGACAGTAGAGACACGCCACCGATCTACCAGCGTGTGGCGCAAAGGGTTGCCCAGTGGAATGTTGCGGGTCAGTGCATGCTGGTTGCTGGTGCCACTTATCCTCAGGAGTTGGGAGAAATTCGCAAGCTGGTAGAGGATATGCCGCTGTTGGTACCGGGTATCGGTGCTCAAGGTGGCGATCTGCAGGCCGTGATGGAAAATGGTCTTGACCGGTTCGGGACGGGTCTATTGATCTCCAGTTCTCGTGGAATTCTTTATGCAGGTTCAGGTGAAGGCTTTGAAAGTGCGGCGGGTGAGGCCGCTGCGGCGCTTAAAAAATCGATAAATTATTATAGATAAACTTTATAACTAATTGAAATTTAAAAATAATAAATACGCTACAAACTTCCTATAGCCTTTGTTGGGACGATCATTAATATAGGTGCCCTGAGCGCTCAAAGATTGTGGCGCGCATAATAATTTGCCTGCATATCCAATAAAAACTAACGAGCAGCAGTGTTCGAAAAGTGGTGGTTATGACAGTCACATTCACCCGCTGTGCAGGGTTAGCGCGGCCGTGACGTTCAGTTACAGCGTCATCTTTGGCGCAAGAGGGAGACACGGCGCGTGACCCCAGACGCGGTCATCTTACGCTACCTACAGATTGTTGCGCCGTTGCGGTGCGATATCGATGAATTGTGCCTGCTTTTATCTGCAGACGCTGATCTGCTTACCCGCTGGCTCAAACTGCTCAACATCCCTGCAGATCTGGATGCGCTGCGTACTCAGATAGCCAACCTTGACGGCCACGAACGTTCTGCTCTGGCGCGTGCCCAGGCCTGGTCGGTTTTACCGATTGTTGGTAGCGCGCGTTTGAGTCTGGACCAGTGGATGTCCGTGTTGCGGGCAGCTTGTCTTGCCCAGTTGCTGGTTGATCACCTCGAGCCGCAATCAGATGTTGAAGATGGCGAAGCGCATGCCAATGTGCGGCTGCGTGCTCTACTGGCGGTATCGGGTGTGCAGCTGCCACATGATCCGCAGCTATCAGCCCTGATCAAATACCGTGGTACCAACCCTGCCTTATTGGAAGATGCGCTGCTGGAATTGCGCGTTTTTGCGGTCGTCGATGCGTTGGAGGTCGGGCGCGAATTTGAGCTGGCTGAACAGTTGCTGGATATGTCGCGGCAAACTCTGGCTGGCCTTCTGGAGGACTCTGAACGGGCCGCCAGCGAGCTTGTTGCGCGTTTCGGCGTTGGTCTGACTCCGGATACGGAGAACGATGCCGCGCAGCAAATCTGGCTCCGTCAGCAGATATCAATCATGACTGAAGGTATGGCGGACTGTCATGATTGGCAGTCACTGCAGCTGCAGCATGATCTGGTCAGCCGCTGTCTGTTTCTGCAAGCACCCCTGTTGCTTGTGGACGAGACCGGCCAGAGTGTTCTGCATGTATTGGGATATCCGGATTACGCAATCAAACTCGATAGCAGGACCAGTATTCTGGCCGCGACGGCACGGGGCGTTAAAACCCTCAGCGTGGCGGAAAGTGATGACCTGGCTGTTGTTGACCGTTTGCTGTTGCGCGAACTCGATTGCGAGGAGGCGGTCGCTGTACCCCTAAGTTTGACAAACGGTGCTGGCTTGATGCTGGTTGCCTCGGACGAAGACAGTGATGTCGAATTGCAGGCAGAACTTTATGTAGAGCATCTGCAGAATCATGTTGAGCGGCTTTGTCGGGACGCTTCGACTAACGCAGATCTGATGGTTGATGATGATCAGGATCTCCTCGAACAGTTTCGCGCCGCAGAATATAATCGTTTGCGTGAAATTGTGCACGAGGCGAACAATCCGCTCAGCATTGTTCATAATTACCTGCATATTCTGGAGCTTCGCTTACAGCATGAACCCGAAGCTGTTGAACAACTGGAGTTGATCGGCAATGAATTGCGGCGGGCGGGAGAAGTGTTTACCCGCGCGCGAGATATACCGCTAAAGACAGATGTACAGGTTTTGCCCGTCGGCACGGTTACCGAAGTCGATCTGGCGTCTTTTTTGGAAAATCTGGTAGAGCTTTTTTCCGGCTATGCCTCAAACGCCGGGGTGGAGCTGTCTTCGCAGACGACAGGTATCGTTGGCACCCTGACTACTCAAGCGGATAAGCTGTCGCAATTGCTCAATAACCTGCTGAAGAATGCGATCGAAGCCTGCCAGCCAGGAGATGATGTCAGCGTCGGCGCACGTGCCGGCGTTTACCGTGATGGTAGTGTTGGTGTTGAGATCTATGTTGAGGATGAAGGTCCGGGGCTTGCGGATGAAGTGCTTTACAACCTTGCAGGTGCGAAGCGCTCCAGCAAAGGCGGAGACCACCAGGGCGTGGGTTTGCAGGTGGCTTTCCGGTTGGCAATTGAACTGGAAGGTGCTCTGGATGTCCGCACGCTGGCAGGGCAGGGCACAACCTTCAGTTTGTTCCTGCCCCGCGAGCCTGCTGCCGCGGGCTGACATACCACAAACAGAAAGCTAAAACGCTAGCTGGCGGCTTTGATCAGATTGCGCGCGATAATGCCCTGTTGAATCTGGCTGGTGCCTTCGTAAATGCGAAACAAACGCACGTCTCGGTAGAAACGAGCCACAGCATATTCTTCCATATAGCCTGCGCCGCCATGGATCTGAACGGCTCGGTCCGCTACTCGCCCGACCATTTCGGTGGCAAATAATTTACAGCAGGAAGCAAGGGTAGTCACGTTTTCCCCTTCATCCCGTCGTTTGGCAGCATCAAGCACCATACACTGTGCGGCATAACTCTCCGCTTTACAGTCTGCCATCATGCCCTGCAGCAGCTGGAATTCGGCGATGGGTTGGCCAAACTGTTTCCTCTCCACTGCATAGTTTACCGACAGATCCAACAATCGCTCTGCACAACCTACAGACAGTGCGGAGATATGTAATCGCCCGCGGTCGAGGGTTTTCATCGCCGTCAGAAACCCTTTGTTCATGTTGGGTAGCCCACCAATGATGTTATCTGCGGGCACACGCACATCATCAAACATGACGTCGCAGACGTGGGCGCCCTGTTGTCCCATCTTCTTGTTTGCCGGACCCAGGGAGATGCCTGTTGTGTTGGCATCGACGATGAAGGCAGAAACACCGCGAGAGCCTGGTAAGTCAGGATCTGTGCGCGCAAAAACCGTAAAGACCTGGGCGCTGGGTGCGTTGGTGATATAGCGTTTGGTGCCGTTGATGACAAAATCGTCACCGTCTCTGACGGCTTTGGTTTTTACAGCACCAGCGTCGGAGCCAGCATCCGGCTCGGTCAGAGCGAAGGAGCCGATGTATTCGCCGCTGGCCAGGCGCGGCAGGTAATGTGCTTTTTGCGCCTCGGTGCCATCCATGACAATGCCTTGCGAGCCAATGCCATTGTTGGTCCCGATGATCGATCGAAACGCCGGAGCGGCCCGACCCAGTTCCATGACTACCTGACATTCTTCGTAAGTGTTTAATCCCAGGCCACCATATTGCTCCGGAATGGTCAGGCCAAACAAACCCAGTTCGCGCATTTCCTGCACAAGTTCCGCGGGCATTTGGTCGGTTTCTGACACCTGTTGTTCCAGTGGGATGAGGCGTTCATCAACAAATCGTCGGACTGTCTGTCTTAACTGAACCAGGGTTTCGGTGTCTAAAGGCATGTTGCTCTCTTGTCGCACAAAAATGGAATTATACCGTGGTGTACGACGTCTGTGTGGTGAGGATTGCAGTTATGCCAAGGCTGCATTAGCCTGGCGGGTTTTCAAGTACAGTGAATTAAATAGATGAGCAGCGACAGAGCCCCCTTTTCCTGGGAAGACCCTTTATTCATTACGCAGCAACTCAGCGAAGAAGAGCGCATGGTGCAAACTACCGCCCATAACTACGCCCAGGACAAGTTGATGCCGCGTATTCTGATGGCCAATCGGAATGAGACCTTTGATCGCGAAATTATGAATGAGTTTGGCGAAATGGGAATGCTGGGGGCTACGCTGCCCGAGAAATATGGCTGTTCCAATGTTAACTATGTTTGTTATGGCTTGATGGCACGTGAAGTGGAACGAGTGGATTCCGGCTATCGGTCTGCAATGAGTGTGCAATCCTCTCTGGTCATGCATCCGATTCATGCTTATGGCAATGAGGCGCAGCGGGAAAAATATCTGCCCAAGCTGGCTACCGGTGAATGGGTGGGTTGTTTTGGTCTGACTGAGCCTGATCATGGCTCCGATCCCAGCAGCATGGTGACCAATGCAAAAGCAGTCGACGGCGGTTATCTGCTCAATGGTGCAAAAATGTGGATTACTAATTCACCAATCGCGGATCTCGCAGTGGTCTGGGCGAAACTTGATGGTGAAATCAGAGGCTTTGTGGTGGAGCGTGAGTTTGAAGGATTCAGTACACCAAAAATTGAAGGTAAATTGAGTCTGCGCGCATCGATCACCGGCCAGATTGTGCTCGAGGATGTATTTGTCCCGGAAGAAAATCTGCTGCCTGAAGGCAGAGGTCTGGGTGGTCCGTTCGGATGTTTGAACAAAGCACGCTATGGTATTGCCTGGGGGGCTATGGGTGCGGCGGAATTCTGTATGCACGCAGCTCGAACGTATACCCTTGAGCGTAAGCAGTTCAATCGGCCGTTGGCGGCAACTCAGCTGGTACAGAAAAAACTGGCGGATATGCAAACCGAAATCACGCTGGGTTTACAAAGCGCGCTGCGTATGGGGCGCATGCTTGACGAAGGTAATCTCCCTATTGAAGTCATCTCGCTGATGAAGCGCAATAACTGTGGTAAGTCTCTGGAAATAGCTCGCGTTGCACGTGACATGCATGGCGGCAACGGTATTGCTGACGAATATCATGTGATGCGCCATCTGATGAATCTGGAAACGGTAAACACCTATGAGGGTACCCACGACATTCATGCATTGATTCTGGGGCGAGCGTTAACCGGATTGCAGGCTTTCAGCGGCTGAAAGTGATATCACCACGCTATCGCAATATGGAGATTTCCTGAAAGTTAGTCTGAATTTGCCGATCTGCAATTGTTTGCCTGACAAACAGCTCTTATGTTGAAGCCTCATACAGGGAGTGAGGGTGAAGATGATCAGGGTTATATGTGTAGATGATCAGGGTTTGGTTCGGCAGGGTATTGTTGCGTTGTTGAAACAGCTGACCAACGTTCAGGTAGTCGGCGAAGCGGCAAGCGGTGAAGAAGCGATTCAGCTCGCACGCACGTTATCGCCTGATATCGTCCTTATGGACATTGTCATGCCAGGCATGGGTGGCCTTGAAGCTACCCAGCGAATAGTAAGACAACAACAACGCACGGCGGTGGTGGCACTGACGGCTCATGGTGACGCGCCGTTTCCAACGCAGATGATGAAGGCAGGGGCCCTGGGTTACCTCACCAAAGGGGTTGAATTACAGGAGCTGGAAAAAGCACTGCGGCGGGTCTATGCCGGCAAGCGATATGTTTGTAATGAAGTCGCTCAAGAGCTGGCAAGTTATGCCTTTGAAGACAATATTGAAAGTCCGTTTGCGATTCTGTCACATCGGGAAATGCAGATAACAATGATGGTGGTTGGCTGTCAGAAGGTCAGTCAGATCTCCGGCAGTCTGCACTTATCACCCAAAACGGTTAACAGCTATCGTTACCGTATCTTCGAGAAACTGAAAATCTCTTCAGATGTTGAACTGGTTCTGCTGGCGGTGAAACACGGCATGGTGTCTGCAACTCATCGCGGTCCATTGCCAGCACCAAGACAGGTTGCATTAGCCCCCGGTTGGCAAACAGCTAAGGTGGATTCCGGTTGAAACTCGCACAACTCTCAGCCTGCAGGGCGTGTCCTCGCCTGGTACAACACCACGCTGAGGTGGTTGTTCGCTATCCTGAGTACCATGCCCGTCCGGTTGGCAACTGGGGAGACAGGCGTTGTCGTGTGCTGGTGGTAGGGCTGGCGCCCGGTCTTCACGGCGCTGCCCGTACCGGTAAAGCATTTGTGGGTGATGCCAGTGGGGAGTTTCTTTTCGAGCGCCTGTATCACAATGGTTTTGCCACCCACGCCGATCCGCAACAAGCCAGCTTGATCAACCTGCGGCTGACCAATGTGGTTAAGTGTCTGCCGCCGGGTAATGCTCCGGTTGCCAGTGAGATTAATCAATGTGCTGGTTTTCTGGCTCAGGAGCTGGCAGAACTTCTACGTCCGCAAGCGCGTCAGCCCCGGGTTGTGCTGGCGTTGGGTGGCGTTGCCCATCGTGCAGTGTGTCGAACGCTGGGGATACCTGCGGGAAATTTCCAACACAATGGTACGGTGCCTCTGGGAAGCCGCCACGCGCTGGTCAGTAGTTTTCATCCCAGCCGACTCAATGTGAATACCGGCCGTTTGACCAAGCCGATGTTTGATCAGGTGCTGCAGAATGTCCGCAGCCTGGTCCGTGATGATGTCATGGCTAGCCCCTCTTAGCCTTGGGCGTTATAGTGCTGCGCTATGTCCGTACCCGCTTTTGACGCCGAACCTTTCCTCAAAACCCTGACTAAGAAGCCTGGTGTTTATCGCATGATTGACGCCGCTGACGGCGTTTTGTATGTGGGGAAAGCCCGCAATCTGAAAAACCGTGTCACCAGTTACTTTCGCGCTTCAGGTTTGCAGGCAAAAACCATGGCGATGGTGGCTAAAATCGCACGGATAGAAGTGACGGTTACCACCAGCGAAACTGAAGCTTTGCTGCTTGAGCAGAGTCTGATCAAACAGGATCGACCGCCTTACAATGTGGTGCTGCGAGACGACAAATCATACCCCTACATCCATCTGGCAGAGACGCATGAATTTGCCCGCCTGACATTCCATCGTGGCGCAAAGCGTAAAAATGGGCGCTATTTTGGTCCATTCCCCTCAGCTTATGCGGTGCGAGACAGTCTCAATATTTTGCAGAAACTGTTTCAGTTACGTCATTGCGATGACGCCTATTTCAAGAATCGCTCGCGCCCTTGTCTGCAACATCAGATCAAGCGCTGCAGCGCGCCTTGTGTCGGCTTGATCTCAAAACAGGATTATCAGGAAGATGTAGAGTTGGCTGTGCTGTTTTTAACCGGCAAAAGTCAGGATGTGCTGGCGCAGTTCAAACAGAAAATGGAGCAGGCGGCGGCTGACCTGAATTATGAGCGCGCGGCGCGCCTGCGTGACCAGATTACACACCTGCGAAAGGTTCAGGAGTCTCAATACGTTCACGGTGATGCTGGCGATGTGGATGTGTTTGCTCTGGCTCAAGCTGCCGGCACTTATTGTGTGCAGGTCGTGTTTATCCGCAACGGACGGATGTTGGGTCAGCGCGCCTACTACCCGAAAAATGAGTTGCTGCTTGATGATGGTGACTTCCTCGAAGCTTTCCTCTCACAGTACTATCTGGCTTCGCAGAATCGAGACGTACCAAAGCTGATTGTGACCTCTCATCGTGGTGCAGACCGTGCGCTGTTGAGCGAGGCACTGACTGAGCAATCCAACCGCAAAGTCGAACTTATCCAGGCGCCACGCGGCCAGCGTGCACGTTGGTTGCAGCTGGCGTTGGAGAATGCTCAGTTGAGTGTGCAAAGCTATCTCGCCGATCGTCGCAATATGTTTGCCCGCTTTGTAGATCTGCAGGAACACCTGCAACTGGACGCCATGCCGGAACGGCTCGAATGTTTCGATATCAGTCATACCATGGGAGAGGCGACCGTAGCCTCCTGTGTTGTTTTTGACACCAATGGTCCCCTCAAGTCTGATTACCGGCGATTTAACATTGAAGGCATCACACCGGGTGATGACTACGCAGCGATGGAGCAGGCATTGCAGCGGCGCTATACGCGCCTGCAGAAGGGCGAAGGTAAGTTACCGGACATTCTGGTCATTGATGGCGGTCCCGGGCAGGTTGGCAAAGCGGTTGCTGTGTTGGAGAATCTGCAGATATCCAATGTGCAGATTCTGGGTATTGCCAAAGGCCCGGATCGTAAATCAGGGTTGGAGCGTTATTTCCTGGATGGAGAAGAGGTGGGGATCAATGGCGCCTCTCCAGGAGCTCATTTGTTACAGCATATCCGTGACGAAGCGCATCGCTTTGCGATTACCGGCCATCGGCAGAGGCGACAGAAAAATCGCAACCAATCAGAGTTGGACGGCATTGAGGGCGTCGGTCCCAAACGTCGTAAAGCCTTATTAACTCATTTTGGCAGTATGCGTGGTCTGAAAGGTGCCAGTATGGAAGAAATTGCAAAAGTCCCGGGTATAAACCGTACACTAGCGGAAATTGTTTATGGCACGCTGCATCAATGACCATGGCCGGTATGAATCTACCCAATATTATTACCCTTGCGCGGATCCTGCTGGTGCCCGTGTTTGTGATTACTTATCTGATGCCCGGGCAGTGGACCTACATCATTACCGCGGTATTTTTCGGTTTGGCAGCATTTACCGATTGGCTGGATGGCTATCTGGCACGCCGGCTGAATCAAACCACGCCTTTTGGCGCTTTTCTCGATCCTGTTGCAGATAAACTGATTGTAGTCAGCGCCCTGGTGCTCTTGATTGCTAACCACAGTAACGTCTGGCTGACGCTGCCGGCGCTGATTATTGTTGGTCGTGAAATTGTCATCAGTGCTCTGCGTGAATGGATGGCAGAAATGAACAGTTCAGGAGAGGTCGCGGTAAATATTCTGGGTAAGGTCAAAACCACCATCCAGATGATTGCCATCTTCATGTTGCTTGCTTACCCACCGGTGCTTGATGCACTGTGGGTGATAGGCGCCTACATCTTGCTGTATGTGGCCGCGTTCATGACGCTTTGGTCTATGACGTTATACCTGTCCGTTGCCTGGCCAACCCTGAAAAGAGGGTTGCAGAGTGGCGGGCACAAGCATTGAGTTATTTGCCAAACTTGTGGCGTAGCGTGTACCAGCTGGGGTAAGGAATAGGGCGGGCGTCCTTCTTTGAAGTCCAGAACCGCACCACTCGGCCATCTGACAAGTGCAGGGCTTTGGCCACATCTTTGTTTGATAAACCTTTGCGGTCCATCCACTCTCTCAGCTCTTCCGGGGTTGGCGGATACTTCTTCATGCCGGGTCGTGGATCTTCTGCAGCACCTCGTGCGGAAACAAAATCCTACGTTTGTTAGGAAAATAGTTCCATAGGATTTTTTATCTTTTTTTTTTGCTTTTTCTGTCTAACACTCTATAGTTGTCACACGACTGTCATATTACTGTAACAATACGAACTTTTATAAAGCAGTGACGTAGGAATAAAACACCTAGGAAAGAAGACCTAGAAAAACACTTGGAAGGGGAGCACGAGGCCATCTTGGCGGCCTCTTAAGCAAATTTTAGCGGCCTCCCAGGCAGGCACAGGAGAAAGATTATGAAACAGACACTATTAATGATGTTGTTAGCGGGCTTGGCCACTGGTTGTATGACTTCTAACAGCACTCAGAGCCCAACTCATCGCTGGGAATCGACCACTGCAGCGGATGAGGTTCAATATCGCAATGATCATGCGCGTTGTCAGATGCAGGCTGATGCGCAATCACACAACAAAGCCTATGAAGCGGGTAGCCAGAGTTTTGTGGCGTACAAGCAGTGTATGGTCAACCGTGGTTACGAACTCACCGCATACGCGGGTCAAGACTAGCGATTCAGCCCGTTCGGGTTGGGATTTTAGTTAAGGAAGAAGAGGGCAGCAGCCCTCTTTTTTATGCCTGTTCCAGTGGTCTAAAACCGCTTCAGATGCCAACCCAGATGCCTAACCCAGCGAGCAGGACACTGACCACAAGCCCGGTACCCGCTTTGGCAGCATCCATGCCAATCAGCCCCGCAGCATGTCGGACGGTGCGGCCCTCAATTTGTAGCGCGATCGCAATTTCCCGACCAGCCAGCAGCCCCAGAAACACCCATGTGGTGCTCATTGGCATATTGCTCCACTCTTTGAACACCAGCAGAATCAGGCCGTAAACAAAGTTGATGATGGCGGCAGATCGAACATCGCTGACGTTAGATTTTGAGGTCACAATTTTCTGAATGCGGCCGCCAGCCTGATAAAAAATCACACCCTGCATCACCACCAGCAGGGCTGTGCCAAAAGCAATCCAGCTGACGGACAATTCCCGCGGCAGGAACACAAAGATGTTTGCAAGGTCCTGAATTAACCACTGACTCCACAAAAACGCCGTAGAAGCCCACTGAATGGCGTACCAATAGCCTGGCGCGTCTTCCTCACTGGTGTCCATCAGATATTGAACGGTTTTACGAATCATCAGATAGAGCAGGAAAGCGGCAATAAAAGCCACGGCATAGCCGGACACGGATTTCAGCAACATTGATTCGATATTGCCCGGCGCAAATACGCTCAAGACCAGAAACGTTGTACTCACGGGAATGCCAAACCGGGTCAATATCAGCAGTACCAGCGGAGCCATAACGTGCAGCCACGTGACGCCGCCTGCGGGCTCGGGAAATTTGGTCAACCTGCCGTATGAGGGGTCACCGTTGTTAACCAGCCAGCTGTACCACAGCACGGCGACAAGAATGCTGGATGCAAACAGCCACAAATGCCACCAGGGTCGTTTTGCGTTAGCGGCTAAAAATGTACCCAGGGTTTGAATGGAGTCGTTCGAGACGACTGAATAAGCGGCCAGGGCAAATCCCAGCACCATAAATACTTCAGTCAGTTGCATTAGCCCCCCAGCTCATGGCGCATATTTTAGCTCTGGATTTGACGATTGCGCGCGGCGGATTCTATACAAGGATGGGCTGAGATACACCGCGGAACATCGATCCTACAGGAACTTTGTTCCGTGCTGCTTCAGCGCGGACCTGGGAGCCTGGAATATGCTGTATTTTTAAGTGGGGAGTTCTTCTGCAAGCGGTTTGAAATTGGAGGCGCGAGCCGGAATCGAACCGGCGTACCTGGTGTTGCAGACCAGTGCATAAGCCACTCTGCCATCGCGCCATTTCCAAGTGGGCGCGAAGTTTAGCGGTAAATGCCTGGGATTGGGATAGTCTCAGGCAATAGTTTTTGTTTTTGCTTAGCGATCGGCCAGTTGGTTGCCTGCAACATAGGTGCGCAGCGCGTCGGCACCGTTGCAAACGGCGGTCTGCATCTGCCTGGCTTTTGTCGAGAGGCGGCCTTTTCCCGCATACCAGTTGCACTCGGATTGCAGCCATTCAATGGCTGCTTCCTGGCAGGCTGGCCGCTGTGCAAGTTTGGACTTGCGACAGGCGCGCTCAGGCACAATCTGGCGATTCTTCCAATCCAGGCCTACGTGAGTACCTTGATGGGTAAAACCGACGGTGTAAATCATTCCGGGGTCTTCAGGCAGTCGCGTTTCGATGCTTTCAGACAATCCCAGGGTAGCGATAATCACAAGTATTAATGTATTCATGAGACCACCTTATGGTGGTTTTTGCAGCCATGCTGTGACGCCGATATCAGTTACGCAGATTCCACCTTGTGATCTAAATATCTTGTCTATGCTTCTAAGGCCTAATAGGTGAAATCAAATTAACAGGATAAGAGTTTGGTCATGCAAGCAAAAAATTCGGGCTTTACATTGATGGAGGTCATCGGCGTTCTGGCGGTGATTGCAATCATTGCGGCGGTCGCCACGCCGCAGATCTTTCAGGCAATCCAGGATGCCAAGGTCACCTCACTTGTACAGGAGGCAAATGATCTCAAAGCAGCCGTCGCCAGGTACTACAAAGATACAGGTACCTGGCCACGTCATATCCCAACGCGCAATGAAGACCATTTCAACCAGCTGATGCGCAATAGCGACTCTAGTGGAAATGCGATTGCAGGGTGGAATGGTCCCTACATTGAATCACAGCTGTCTAATCCGATTACCCCAGGAGGGTACCTGGATCTGCAGGTAACCAGTAATGCCAACTACGCCTGTGATCTGGATGGCGACGGTAATGGTGATGGCACCTTTATCACCTACCGAATTGACGGTGTGCCGGATAACCTGGCGCAGAATATTTCGCAGATGTTAGATAAAGACGGCGCCAATACCACTGGTGACGAGGCCTGGCAGGCAGCTGGTCGTGTAAAACGATATGGCGGCAACCATGCTTCGATTCTGGTGATGTGTCTTGCTCGGGTATAACTAGGGCTAAACAGTGCTATGACTCAACTCCGGGACAGCCAGGGATCGGCGACGCCTCGTGTCAGTAAACCGCTGGGCCAACGCCTGGTGGAAGCGGGATTGCTGACGGAACCGCAACTGGATCTTGCACTGCGTGAACAGAAACGCGACGGTGGATTCCTTGGGCAGGTTTTAGTTGAACTGGGATTTGTGACCGAAGAGGACATCACCGCGTGTCTGGCGTTGGAAAACGATGTTGAAATGGTCAGTGTGCGCGACCTGGAAGTCTCGCCTGACCTTTTGAGCCTGGTTTCTTATGAGACCGCTCGAACCCACAAGTTGATTCCGCTTGCGATAGACGATGGTGAGCTGACCGTTGTTTTTGCTGATGCGTTAGATGTGGTTGCACAGGATGCCGTGGAGCGCGAAAGCAAGCGAACCATCCGCGTGGCTACAGCACCCGAGCCGCATATCCTGGAAGCGATTGAGCGCAACTATGCGCGCTCATCGAGCATTAATGAAACGATCGAGCAGGTGCTGTCTGGAGACAGCCTGGACGTCACTGCGGCGGATCAGGATTCGCCGATGGTGCGGCTCGTCGATCAGATTTTTGCCACTGCCATCAAACACAAAGCCACCGATATTCATCTGCAGCCTGAAGAGCGCAACATGCGCGTGCGATTGCGGGTGGACGGCATTCTGCGCGAAGAAATTGTTGTGCCCAAAGCCATCCAATCCGCCGTACTGGCGCGGGTAAAGCTGATGGCCAATCTGGATATTACTGAAAAGCGTGTGCCCCAGGATGGGCGCATTCGTTTCACCTTCGGCAGCGGCTATGTTGATCTGCGTGTTTCAACACTGCCGACCAATCATGGCGAAAGTATTGTCATGCGCCTGCTGGATGGCGGAGCGGTCCAGCTCTCGCTGGCTGAGCTTGGCTTTGCACCTGATGATTTAAGGCGTATTGAGCAGGCCATCAGCCATCCTTATGGGATGGTGTTGGTAACCGGCCCAACAGGAAGTGGTAAAACAACCACCTTATACACCGCGTTGGGCACCATCGACCGTGAAGCGCGCAGTGTATTTACCCTGGAAGACCCAATTGAATATACGTTGCCGATGATTCGTCAGACACAGGTCAATGCAGACATCGGAATGGATTTTGCTGCAGGGTTACGTTCACTTTTACGTCAGGATCCAGACGTTATTCTGGTTGGTGAAATACGTGATGCTGAAACCGCTGAACTGGCTACCCGCGCGGCCATGACGGGTCACCTGGTTTTTTCAACGCTGCATACCAATTCAGCCGTTGGCGTTATCCCGCGTCTGGTAGATATGGGGATCGATAGATTCCTCCTGCCCTCTGCTTTGGTCGGCATTGTCGGGCAGCGGCTGCTGCGTAAACTATGCGTAAGCTGCAAAATCCAGGTGGAGGGCGCCAACCCACTTCTGTTAGGTGATCTGGCTGATGTGACGGATGTGAGTGATCATCACTGGCAACCCGTAGGCTGTGATCAATGCAACGGTAGCGGTTACAGCGGCCGTATGGCTGTTTATGAGGTTCTGTTGGTTGATACCTCTTTTCATGATGCTATGTTGGAAGGTAGCGTCGAATCGAAGCTGTTGGAGCTGGCGCGCGCGGGTGGCATGACCACTATGCTGGAAGATGGACTAGCCAAAGCACAACAGGGCCTGACTTCGGTGGCTGAAGTGCTGCGCGTGCTGCGGTAAAGCTGCCATGCCTCAATATGCTTATCGAGCGGTAGATAAAAACAGCCGAGTCAGCACTGGTGTTCTTATTGCCGAATCTGAAACTGTGCTCGAACGTCGTATGGCGGCGCTTGGATTGTGGCTGGTCGAAGCCAAGCCTCAGGCTTTGGGTAAAAGGGCAAATCTCAAAGTAAACGTTACACGCAGAGATTTAGTCGATTTTTTTAACGGCCTGGCGACGTTGGTAGATGCGGGTGTTGATATCGCGGAAAGTTTGAACGTACTGGTTAATGAAACCGTTGATGAGGGTTTCAAGCAGATTCTGGATGATGTCCGTTTGAACATCCAAAGTGGTGTGAATTTTTTTGATGCGATGTCTGCCCACCCTGAAGTGTTTACAGCGGAGATCTGCAATCTTGTGCGGGCTGGTGAACACAGCGGTGAGCTGGTGGCGGCTTGTTACGACATCAGTGAGCATCTTGAATGGCTGGATCAGCTGATGGGTGACGTGAAGCAGGCAACCATGTACCCGGCGATGATTGCAACTGCGGTAATGGGTCTGGTGTTTCTGATGTTCAGCTTCGTAGTCCCTCAATTCTCAGTCATTTTCGACAGTTTGAATATTGAGCTACCGACCATTACTAAGGTTGTGGTGACTATTGGTGCTTTCTGTAACAGCCACTGGTGGGCGATGCTGCTGGCGATCGGCGGACTTTTTGCCGGTCTCAAGTTTGGACCGGTTTACTCGCCGAAGATGGCATACACCATGGATAAGGTGAAATTACGTATGCCGGTGTTTGGTCCGATAAATCAGTTGCTGGTGCTATCGCGCTTTGCTCATAACATGGCGCTGATGCTTAAAGCAGGTGTGCCCATAATCGAAGCGCTATCCCTTGTCTCTGGTGTGGTGGCCAATCGGGTCATGCAAGCTGCTTTAGACAGCGCACAGCAGGCGGTTACCGATGGGCGTCGCATGTCTAAAGCACTCAGCGATCATGATGTCGTGAGTCCTATTGTGATGCGTATGATTGTGGTCGGTGAAGAAACCGGCAAACTCGATAGCTGCCTGGAAAAGGTGTCCACGCGGATGGACGATGAGATACCACGACGTATTAAACGCCTGTTCGGTATTCTCGAACCTGTGATCATCCTGGTACTGCTGGGTATTGTCGGGATGGTTGCCGCGGCGATATTCCTGCCTCTATTCAGCCTTATGTCAGGCATACGCGGATGAATAAATCCAAGGGCTTCTCTCTGCTGGAAATGATTGGTGTGATGGCTGTGATGGCCATTCTTGCCGGCGCTTTGGCGCCCAGCGTTTTTCAACTCATTGAAGAAGGCTATCAGACCGCTGAGCAACAGAGCTTAGGGACAATCTCTGATGCCCTGCAAAAGTCCATCGTTCGTGACAGGCGCATCCCTACAACAACATTGTCAGACTGGAGCAATGCGGTTGCACAATACGCTTCGCTGCCACCTGCACGTATTACGACTAACGATAAGAATTTTTCCCGCAGACTTTATGCGGATCCGATGTTTTTTAATGCCAGCAATCAGAACTTTCCCGGTTATACACAGATCTCGGGATTGGCAAATGTACCCTATTCACCACGCTTAATGGTTGTCTCAAGTTTGGCGGGTAACGTCACTGCGAATCTGAATACACATGATCGGTTCACAGACGTCTGGGAGCAGAATATCGGCGCTTTGCTGGTTGAAGATGACGTGCTGATGATCGAACGCATCAACCTCGCGCCGCTGTTTGTCCGAATCCTGCTGAATAACGCCAATGCCTCACAAGCCGGCTTTGCACTGGAAAACGGCGGCGAGAATGCCGTATCAGCTGCCTCTGGGGGTGTAGACGGCGCGCGAACGGTTTACGTCCTTAGAGGTACGCAGATTGGTTTGACCAGCGCACCTTACCCCGGCGGGGCCACACAACGCCGTTTGATTGCGCACCAGGACATGTCCCTGCGTTATCAGATGGTGGGTGCAAGCTGGACATGGGAAAGGTGATATGAGTCGTACGCGTTATGCCATTTCCTGGTTGTATGGTGAGTTCCGCATTGCCCGTTTTCATCGTGATGAAATAGCCGAGCAGTGGGAGTCACCTGAGCAGGTTGAAAGTTACGCTGATCTGGTAAGAGTACTTGATCAGGCTGCTCAGGCTATTAACCTTGGTGACAAAGGTGACGTGACCGTCGTTCACGAGCACGATCTGCACACCCACGAATATCTTGAAGTGCCGGCCATGAAGCGCCGGGATCTGGAAAGATATCTGCATCGTCGAGTGCAGCAGGATAAGTCATTTGATGAAGAGGCAGCCTGGTGTTTCCATCAGGTCGCCCACGCTGGCGGCAAAGAAGGTGTGTTGCTGCACCTGTTACCGAAGCGAATTGTTAAATCGACCCTGGCCGCATGCGGTGCTGTGGGGCTTGCACCCAAACAGTATGTTCCGCTGACAGAAATTGTTTCTGATTATCTGCCCACACTAGACTTAAACGTTGACGACATGGTTGTCGTGGTGGCGTGTTTCAAGGCGCGTACAGAAATCATTATTGCACTGGCAGACGGTGAGGCCCTGTTTGTGCGCGAGCTCAACTACGGCCTGTCTGCCAGCACTTATGAGCGGCTTGTTACTGACGTCAATCGGACTCTGCGTTATGGGCGGCAGCAGCTTGGCCGGAGTGTGACCAAAGCTTTGATGATGGGTGATATCAGTGCGGAACTGGTTGAACCTCTCGAAACCAATATAGACGTGCCAGTCAGTTTTGATGAGCAGGCATCCGACCCGTACTTCTGGACATTATGGGCAACCCGGCTGTCAGGCAAGCTATCAGCTAACTTCATTTCCGTTTTTGCGCAAAAAAACATTACCGCGGATGCGGTGCGCAGAGTTGCCGCCTGGTCAACCGCTGCGGTGTTGATGGTAACCACGGTCATGACGTTGTTTACCGGTGGTCTGGTGACACATCGGGCGGATCAGATTCGCGGTATTGAATCTCGAACAGAAGAAGTGCGCGTGTTGATTGAACAGGTAGAACAGAAATTGTGGGAAGGGCGTTTGAAACAGGATCACCTTGGACGCCTGCAAGCCACCAGTAAAAATTTGCCCGCGTTGCTGGTGGTGCATCTGGGTCAGCTTACGCCGCCTGAAGTCACTTTGACCAGGGTCAATGTTGCGCGTCAGGAATCTGCCTGGCGGGTCCTGATCAACGGAACGGTGGCAGGTGATCTGCGTGAAAGTGCCCGCATCCTGGCTAATCTAGAAATGCAGTTAAGCGAACCGCCCTGGCAGATCAGCTTCAGTAAAAGTTTCACAAACACCTGGATGCAACAGTTTGCCCAGGGAAAGTTGCAGCGTGAAGGTGAAAATGGGTTCGAAATAGCAGGCGAACTGCGATGAGTCTGGATATGGAAATCGAACTGCCGGATACGCTGGAGCTGGATCAAGATCAAGACGCGATGCCGCCTGAAGAAAGAATGCAATATCACGGCGGCATCAAAAAATATATTCACATGATTGTTGATGCATGGTTTGCAACACCTGCTCGCATTGCTGCAACCTGCGCGCTTGTGCTTGCTTGTTTTGGTTTGATCTTATGGAATCTCGACAGGCTTTCTATCCTGGATGAACTGGTGGAGCTGGAGGTCTCAGAATATCGCCTGGACAGCCAGCTCAATGATCTGGAACTGGAACTGGCCAGTATTGATGTAGAGAGTCTCAGCACGGCGATTGAGGCAGAAAACGATAAGGTCTTTCAAGGCTTTCCCGAATTGGCAGCCTGGGCGGAAAACCTGGCAGCGATCGCTGCAGATCGGTCAATGGTCTTCAGTTATCAGGCGAAGGTGCCACATTTATCTCCCGTGCCCGATGTGCTCGAAGTACCTGTTACTTTGACTTTTAAAGCCGCGCCGGATTCGGCCGATAACCTATTTGATCAATCGATGGCGCTGATTGGTTTCATTTTGCGCGATCACTGGCATATGGATGTGTTGCAAACCCAGGCGTTAGGAGACGGCGATGGTCTTGATGCCATCAGCATCCAGGCCCAGGTATGGGTGCGCGATCGATTTGGTTTTGTTGATCTGGCTGCTCTACAAGCGCAGATCCCTGCGGAGAATCAGGATGTTGACGAGTTGTTTGAACAATAGATATATCGAAGAAGGCAGATGAAAAACCTGTTCAATAATCCGTGGTTTGTTGGTGCGCTTGGTCTTTTTGCCGCCATCTATCTGGGTATTTCAGTGACAAAACCGCTGTTTGGCAGCAGCACTGCCAGCATGGGTAGCGTTGAAGAGATCGGCATGTTGGATGAGTTTTCTGTTGCTAACAATGTTGCGGTGACCACACGTCGTATTGGCGAATCGCGTGATGCCATTGGGTGGCTCAACGATGTTGCACGCGATCCGTTTGACGGCGGCGCTTTGGATGCGCAGGCGCATGCAATAGGTCTACATGAAACACTTCCGAAAGTTGGCGCGGTTTTTCTCGGTGGTGGTGTTAAGGCGGCAGTTTTAAACAACAAACTGCTGCGAATCGGAGATGCGATTGATAGTTTTGTCGTTACCGATATAGATGCTGAACACGTGGAAGTCAGTCGCAATGGCAAGTTTTATCGGTTGGAGCCGGATGTATGAATTTAAACGGAGGCCATCGGATGGCCACTATTGTTGGCGCAGGAAGCGCCATTAAGACGCTGCGGGCACTGATTGTTATCCCATGCCTGTTAGTGTCTGGGTGTACCCAGTTGTCCACATTAACCGCGGAGCCAGAACGCCCGTTTCCTCGATATCATACGCAGGACAGTTGGCCTTCACCCGCCCTTGCGCCAATTGAGTTATCAACTAAAGAACGACTTTCGTTTCCTCAGCCTAAAAACGCGGTAACTGATGGAGGTGAAGAACCACTTTACAGTTTTGTTATCAATAACATGCCGGTAAAGCAGGGCCTGCGTCAGTTCGGGCGGGCTTACGGGCTAAACATTATTGCTGATGAAGATGTGACAGGTATTCTGGACGTGGAATTCAGAGATTTACCTCTGGAGAGGGCATTGTCCCTGATGTTGGATAGTCTGGATTATTACTGGGAGATCAACGACGGCGTCATTCGCGCCAGATCTCAGGAAACCCGCCGAATACAGCTTGATTACCTTCGTCTGGTGCGCTCAGGCAATGGGTCCAGCTCAGCCAAAGTATCTTCCAGTTCGTCGGAAGGAGGCAGTTCCCCAGGTGGAGGGTCTGATGACGAAGCGGGTTCTATCGTCATTGCACAGACGGATGAAATTGAATTCTGGGGAGAGCTGCAGGCACAATTGGAACAGCTGTTGAGCGAATCCGGTAGCATCGTGATGAACAGTTTATCCGGAACGCTGCAGGTGACTGATCAACACGCCCACGTCGAATCGGTGGCCAACTACATAGACCATGTGAATCGTTCGATTCATCGCCAGGTCGATATCGAAGTCAAAATCCTTGAGGTGGTGTTGGAAGACAGTTCTGCGCTGGGGGTTAACTGGTCCAGGGTGTCTCGCGTACTTGATTCGGGGACGAATGTGGATTTCTCCACGTCCGGTATTGTAACTTCGCCTGCTGGCGGTATCGCGCCACTGTCATCGGTACTGAATCTGTCTGCGTTCAACCTGAAAAACGATGGCAATACTCGCATACAAGCCGTGGTAGAAGCTTTAGAAGAGCAGGGTGATGTCGAAATTGTAAGCCAGCCTCATGTGCGAACAATGAATAACCAGACCTCGCTGATCAAAGTGGGCACCGACCGAACGTTTTTCCGGCGTGAACAATCAACAGATTCTACTTCGGCGGGTTCTATTACCACGGCAACCGACATCCCCCAGGTGGTCACGGAAGGCGTGGTGTTATCGATTACACCGCAAATTGGTGACACGGGCTGGATCATGATGGACATTTCTCCGGTAGTCACCCGGGTGTCCAGTGTCAGCGTGGTTGAAGATGTTAATGGGGTTATCCAGAGTTCTGCACCAAACCTGGATGTGGCACAGGTGTCCTCTTTGGTTCGTGCGCGTAGTGGCGATACGGTTGTTCTGGGTGGATTGATTCAAAGTGCAGATTCGAATACCAAGCGCGGTGTGCCTGGCCTGACCCGGCTTGGGCCGTTCAGTAAGTTGTTAGGCGGTGAATACAAAGCGTCCAGCCGCAAAGAGCTGATCATGATTCTGACGCCTAATTTAGTAGCAGGAGAGCGATAAGATGCGAGTTATCTGCAGTGTGCTTGTTCTGGCCTGTTTGGGTTCAGCTCATGCTGAAGAAGAAGACTCTGGAGCACTTGGCGCCAGTGAACTGAGCGCTGCGTCTGTGGCTGAGTTAGAGACTAAAAGAATACAAGCGGAACAGGCGAATGATGCATTAGCAGTCTTGCTTGAAGGTGTCACCTCCACAGGGGGTCCGTCAGAAACGGTCAAAACGGAACAATCAGAAGCGCCTGGTTCGTCCAGGTCTTCTGAACCAAGGGCTGATGAGCAAGCGGTTGCGGAAATACCCGCCAGGGCGGAACAGAACCTTCACCCCCAGGACTTTCAAAACATCCGTGCGCAGCTCGCGCAGATGTCATTCGCTGATGGGCAAGCTTTGGTTGCCGGGTTTCTCGACGATCATCCCACACATCGGGAAGCGCGCATCACGCTTGCACGTCTGCAGGTGCTGGATAACGATCCTGCCTCTGCACTGCTGACGCTGGATTCTCTGGTGGCATCAGTGGCCGCCAAGAATCATTCTGATTGGCAACCGTGGTTCTGGACTGGCACCGCTTATCTCGCCCTGGGTGAAATTGAATCAGCACGTCGCATGTTGGATGTTGCTGTCTCTAAAGAAGGCCAGGTTGTAGAGATCTGGGTGCAGCTTGCGGTTTTAGAGCAGGAGCTGGATAACCACGCTGCGGCGCTGCAATACATCGGCATTGCTGAACAGATTGATGCGCAAGCCGCGCAGATTTACCTGAACAGAGCATACAGCCTGGAACGCCTGGGTGAGTTTGACGCCGCGCTCAGTGCTTATCAGCAATTCATGTCCAGCAGAATGTCACCAGGGGCAGAGGCCTTGCGTCCGTCGGTGATGCGTCGCATGGCACTGTTGGCCGAACGCCAGCAGGCTGCTGAAGAAAACTCGGGTCAGAGTTCCTGATACGATAAATGTCTTAGAGCGTTGGTGCCCGGAGCCGGACTCGAACCGGCACGAAGTTGCCTTCGAGGGATTTTAAGTCCCTTGTGTCTACCAATTTCACCACCCGGGCCTCGGGGATGTAAGTGGTGCCCAGAGTCGGACTCGAACCGACACGATATCTCTATCACTGGTACCTAAAACCAGCGTGTCTACCAATTTCACCACCTGGGCACGCGAGGCGCGAATGTTACGGTGCCGGGGTCTTACCCGCAAGCCATGCGGGCCTTTCCTTTAGCAGAAAACGTCGATGTTCAGGTCTTTGCACTGCTTGGGTGGCGTACATCCTTGCCCAATACCTGGAAAATGACATATTCGGCCATATTTTTTGCATGGTCACCAATACGCTCAAGCGAACGGGCAACCCAGATTGTGCTCAGCAGGTGCGGGATGTTAGCGGGATCCTTCTGCATTTGAAGGGTGCATTGGGCGACAATCGCATCATAGAGATCATCAACGGCGTCATCAGCGCGAATCACTAGTTGCGCAACGTCTTCATTGACCCGTGCAAACGCATCAAGGGTTTCCGTCAGCATGACGTTGACCTTGTCGTGCATGGCACGCAAGTCGCCATATTGATGGGTAGGAATTTCGTGACTGGCAATCTTGATCGACATTTTAGCGATTCTGTTGGCTTCATCACCAATACGTTCCAGGTCAGTGATGGCCTTCATCACACCAACAATATTGCGTAAATCTCCGGCCGCAGGCTGACGCCGGGCGATGATGCCTACACATTGATCATCCAGACGCAGTTCCATGCGATTAAGTTTTTTCTCATTTACGCGAACGTCTTCCGCCAGAGACAGGTCATGGGTGAAATAAGCAAGGCAGGCATCTTTCACCTGTTGTTCAACCAGGCCACCCATTTCCATCAGCTGGTCGCGGATACCACCCAGTTCAAGGTCGTACTGTTCTGAGATGTGTCTACTCATCTGTTTGCCTCAGCCTCCTGCTGTCGCGTGCGGCTATCCATAACGTCCGGTTATATAGTCTTCGGTGCTTTTTTCTTTCGGGAAACGAAAAATCGTATCCGTGTCGCCATATTCCACCAGCTCACCTAGATTCAGGAACGCGGTGAAATCTGAAACTCTTGCCGCCTGCTGCATATTGTGGGTGACAATCACGATGGTGTAATCATCTTTGAGCTGATGGATCAGTTCCTCAATTTTCAGAGTGGAAATCGGGTCCAGTGCGGATGCGGGCTCATCCAGCAGAAGTACAGATGGTTTTACCGCGATTGCCCGTGCAATAACCAATCGCTGCTGCTGCCCGCCAGAAAGACTCAGTGCAGATTCGTGCAGGCGGTCGCGCACTTCCTCCCAGAGCGCTGCGCTGCGCAGTGCCCATTCCACGCTCTGATCAATCACTGCGGTAGATTTCTCGCCCTGGATTCTGAGCCCATAGGCAACGTTCTCATAAACGGTTTTAGGGAATGGATTGGGACGCTGGAAAACCATGCCAACGCGGCGTCGGAGTTCTGCGACATCTACTCTCGGGTCATAGATGTTGTCCCCTTCCAGTTCGATGCTGCCGTCGATCATCGCGTTGTTGATCAGATCGTTCATACGATTGAAACAACGTAACAGGGTAGATTTGCCGCAGCCTGAAGGGCCGATAAAGGCGGTCACTTTCTGCGCGGGTATGTCGACGTTGATGTTTTTCAAAGCAAAACTGTTGTCGTATTGCATGTTCAGATTTTTAACGCTGATGCTGACTTTTGGCGCGCTCAGGGTATCTGGAATGCTGTTCTGATCGTTTGCAGTCATGGTGTTCTACTCGTAGCTGCGATAACGCTTTTCTAAACGATGGCGCAGAGTTATGGCCGCTAAGTTCAGGCCAACGATAATACTGATTAACAGCAGTGCGGTAGCGTACACGAGTGGTCGGGCAGCTTCGACGTTAGGGCTCTGGAAACCAACGTCATAAATGTGAAAGCCGAGGTGCATGAATTTGCGGTCCAGATGCAGGAATGGGAATTCGCCATCGATAGGCAGGGCGGGTGCCAGTTTAACAACCCCAACCAGCATCAGCGGTGCAACTTCGCCTGCAGCGCGGGCTACCGCCAGAATAACGCCAGTCAGCACGGCGGGTGTGGCCATGGGTAGTACAACCTGCATCAGAGTTTCGGCGCGGGTGGCGCCCAGTGCCAAACTCCCTTCGCGCAAGCTTTTCGGTATGCGTGCCAGTCCTTCCTCAGTAGAGACGATAACAACCGGTACGGTCAGCAGGGCAAGGGTAAGTGATGCCCAGAACAGGCCTGGTGTGCCGAAAGTCGGGGCCGGGAGAGCGTCAGCGTAGAACAGTTGATCGATGTTGCCGCCGAGGAAGTAAACAAAAAATCCCAGCCCGAAAACCCCGTAAACAATAGAAGGTACACCAGCCAGGTTGCTGACGGCGATACGTAACATACGCACTAAAGTGGTCTGGCTGGCATATTCGTGTAAGTAGATCGCTGTCACCACGCCAACCGGGGTGACTACCACAGACATCAACAAAACCATCAACACCGTACCAAAAATGGCGGGAAAAACGCCGCCTTCGGTATTTGCCTCGCGTGGGTCGTCACTCAGAAAGCGACCGATGTTCGACAGGAAAGTGCCAGCTTTTGCCAGGCTACTCATGTTGTTGGGGTAGGTCACATAAAGGGTGTCAGCCAGTTCAATCTGCCTGGCAGTGTTGCGTTGTATTTCAAGCAGCAGTGCGCTGCCTTCAAGGTTCTTCAGCAAAGAGCTGAGGACCTGCTCCTGTTCCCGGTAGGTTTGCAGCAATACAGCTTCCTGTCCTGCCAGCTGTTGCTGGCGAGTTGCAGCATCTGCAGGAGGGTCCATGTTCAGTGCACGCTGCTGCAGACGAATGGCTTTCAGGTCAGCGTTAATCTGATTGATGGTGCCCCGCTCGAGGCTGGCGATGGCTGCCCGGTTGGTGTTGAGGCGCGCCAGTGTGGTCTGTAACAGGGTGTTGAGTTCAACGCCACTGACAATTCTTTTGCTGCCGTCTGCGTTGTCAAAGCGCAGTTCGAGAATACGCCCGAAAGCGGGGCCCCATTCAATCCGTTCGATTTTGGCAAGCTCTACCGGTGTTTCTATATGCGTGACATCGTGGGCATAAACCCAGCGAAAATCGGGTGGGTTGGTGCGGCGGTTGCCGGTGTTGAACAACCATCGCTCAACCTCTTGCGCATCAGCGGACAGACGGTTGTCGTCACCGCCAGCTTCCAGATACTGAATCCGCGACAGTGTGCTGACTTCGACCCGTTCACCTATCAGCTTTTCCGGATTCCCAGCTGAATTTGTATATTCAACGGCATAAATTGGATTGGGCCAGAAGTGTATAAGGCCATTGCGCATGATCAGCAAAACGATAAACACAACCGCACACAGGCTCAGAGCAAGTGCGCCAGCGTTCAGCCAGATCCAGACTTCATTGCGGTCCAGCCGTTTACGATGTGTTTTGTTCAGCAGTAGTGCCATTACAGATTGCCGTAGTGGCTGCGCAAGCGCTCACGAACGATTTCAGCAATTGTGTTGAAAAAGAAGGTGATCATGAACAGTACAAACGCGGTCAGAAACAGAATCCGATAGTGCGAACTGTTTACTTCTGTTTCCGGCAATTCCACAGCGATATTGGCGGCAAAAGTACGCATGCCCTCAAACACATTGAAGTCCATGATGGGTGTGTTGCCTGTGGCCATCAGAACAATCATGGTTTCGCCAACAGCTCGACCAACGCCGACCATAATGGCAGAGAATATGCCGGGTGCTGCGGTCAGCAGCACAACCTGGCTTAAGGTCTGCCAGGGTGTTGCGCCCAGTGCTAACGAGCCGTTCACCAGGTGCGCCGGCACACCGTGGATTGCATCTTCGGCAATGGAGAAAATAGGTGGGATTACCGCTAACCCCATGACCATGCCTACAACGAGGGCGTTACGCTGAGCATAATCCAGGCCAGCCACTTCCCTTAGCCAGGTGCGGCTGTCTCCTCCAAACCATGCGTTTTCGAACCACGGGCCAATCTGAAAGCCTAAAGTGATGGCAGCGACAATGGCCGGTACCACCAGCAGCGCATAACCGCCCACAACTCTGTCCCGCCTTGAGGTGGGCAGAACGGACCAGAATAGTGCGCAACCAATAAGGGCGCCGGGCACCAGAACAAACGCGGACAGGACGCTGGCTAACTCCTGTTCAACAATCGGTGCAAGCCACAAGCCGCCAATAAATCCCAGGATGACTGTAGGCAGGGCAGCCATGACTTCGATGCCGGGTTTCACCCAGGCCCTGATGTGGGCGGGCATGAAATAAGCGGTGTAAATCGCCCCCATGACCGCCAGAGGCAGAGCAAACAGAAGTGCATAGAAAGCGGCTTTCAAGGTGCCAAACACCAGTGGCACCAGAGAAAACTTCGGCTCAAAATCGTTGTCTGCAGCAGATGACTGCCAGCTGTAAACAGGTTCACTGTAACCTTCGTACCAGACCTCGCTCCACAAAGCGGAAAATGACAATTCCGGGTGAGGATTATCTAACTGAAATACGTGCAGACGACTGTTGTCTGCGGTGACAAATTGATCTGCCCGGGGTGATACAGCGTTGACACGCTGTTGCGTTTGATCTGCTGCGTATTGGGTTTGAGCTTTGCCTGATGTGGGGTAAATTAAATGTAGATAACCGTCGCTGGTGCCGGCAAGAATGCCTTTGCGTCGGGGTTCGTTGACCAGCGTGTGAATTGCTGAACCGAGGTCGAAGTTTCGGATAGGTTGCATCCGGAAACCCAGATCGTCGCGGACAGCGGTCCATTGCGTGACAACACCACGGTCGTCTGCCGCAAGAATAGACTGACGTCCCAGCAGCGCCACTGTTGCCGTCAAGCTGCGGGTCGTTGATGCCAGTTGTGTGTGAAACAACTCACGCATGCGGTTGGGTTCGGTGATGTCGTAGACGTGCAGGCTGTTGTCGTTGTCCTGCAGGTACACCCATTCGTTGCGTGGCCCCAGAATAATTTTTTCAACACTGTTGTCTACGGTCAGATTTGCCTGGGTCGCATTCAGTAGAGGTAAACCCAGTTCCGCATTGTCATAGCGCAACAGTGACATTTGCGTGTCGTTCATACTGGCAATGACCAGGCTGTCATTGGCCAGGTGAACGTCGAAGGTGTTGGTTTTGCCCAGTGGAATAAACTGGTTCGAAAAGGCCGCTTCCAGGCGGGGGGTCACACTGCGAACGCCAGCGGTGATATCTACCTCATAGCTGGCACGCACCAGCCACAGTCGCTGGTTTTCGTCGAGGACGGCATAGATGTCCAAAGTCGGGTAAACACGTTGGGCCTGGTTGACCCGAAATCCCAGGTCATAACTGATTAGTGGAATGCCGCTGTCTACTTCAACAAATTCCGTGATGCCATCAGCCGCGAGACGCATTAGAACATCACCCGCCTCATTGAAATCAACCAGGCGGGCTTCGCGGCTGACCAAGGCGATCTGCCCCCGATCCGTAATGCTTGCCGGTGCAAAAGCAGGTGCCACGGTCCACAACAGATAAAGAAAAATCAGCACAATGGCCGCAAGTACTGTGGATCCACCCAAGGTCACCAGATAGCGTAATCCTCGATCAAACAGCGTCCGACGCGATAAACGTCTCCCCTGGAGCAGGCTTTTTCCTGTATCAGCGGCAACAGAGCCGGGAAGCTGGGCAGGGTCTTGGGACATCAGTTGAGCTTCTGCAATTCGCGGTGTGCGATTTGTGCCGATACTGGAATGTAACCATCCTTTTCGACGATCGCCTGCCCCTGGGCCGACAACACCATGCGGATGAATTCCTGTTCGACAGGCAGTAACGGCTGGTTGGGTGGTTTGTTAACGTAGATGTAGAAATAGCGTGACAGTGGGTAGCTGCCGTCGGCCGCTGTCTGCGTGGTTGCTGGAATCGGAAAATTGCCGCGACGGGCTATCGGTACAGATTTGATACCCGATGTCTTGTAGCCAATGCCGGAGTAGCCGATGCCATTCAGTGAAGAAGCTACGGCCTGCACCACTGAAGCTGAACCGGGTTGTTCATTGAGGGAATTTTTATAGTCACCTGCACACAGGGCAACACTTTTAAAGTAGCCGTAGGTGCCGGACACTGAATTACGTCCATAGATCTGGATCGGGCGCTCCCGCCAGCCGCCGGATAGCCCGAGATCGCCCCAGAAGCGAATATCCTGGCGTCCGCCACAACGCCGGGTGACGGAAAACGTTGCATCGATCTGCTCGATAGACATGGCATCCAGAGGATTATCTTTATGGACATAGACCGCGACAGCATCAATGGCGACCCGGATAGCCGTTGGCTTGTAGCCGTAGCGCTGTTGGAACGCTTCCAGCTCATTGTCCTTGAAGGCTCGACTCATGGGGCCCAGGTTGGCGGTGCCCTCAGTCAGCGCGGGCGGCGCTGTGGATGAGCCTGCCGCCTGAACCTGGATATTCACACTGGGGTATTCACGCTTAAACGCATCACTCCAAAGCGTCATCAGGTTAGCCAGAGTGTCGGATCCGGCACTGCTGATGTTGCCTGAAAGCCCTGCCGTTCTCTGATAATTGTGCAGTTGCGTTTGCTGGTCAGGTTGCTGTGGCTGACTGAGCGTGAGGGGGATCGGTTCGATCTCGATCACAGGTAAACCGCGCACCTCAATCTCTTCTGCCGGCCCCGAGTCGCACGCCGCTATCGCGACGGTAAGGAAACCGACCTGCACCAGTTGGCGGGCAAATCTTCGTGCCTGTGATTTATGCATTGCGGCTTGCGGCAGCGAGCGTCTGTACCGGTTCTGCGATGGCGAAGTTACAGTAGAATTCACTGCCTTGACCAACCGTACTTTTCACAAAAAGTTCGGAGTGATGGCGGCGCAGTACGTGTTTGACGATAGCCAGACCCAATCCCGTGCCGCCGCGTGTGCGCGCGTCTGCCATGTCGACACGATAGAAACGTTCGGTGATGCGATTGAGGTGTTCCGGGGCGATACCCACGCCCTGGTCAATCACGCAAAGCTGCGCTTTGCCGTCTATCTCCCGCCAGCTGATGGTCACCGGCTTGCCTTCCTGACTGTAACGCAGCGCGTTGCTTAACAAGTTAACGCATACGGAATAAAGCTCGGTTTCAATACCTTTGATACGCGCCTGAGTCTCTATTTTTACGCTGATCTGGCCGGGTGATTGAGCCAGCCCCCTGACTTCGTTGACGGCATTGCTGATTACTGCTGTCATTGCGACAGGGTCAAGTTGTGCAGGTACCGGGGTAGATTCCAGACGTGTCAGAAGCAGCAGGTCGTCGACCAGCGAACGTATCCGGCTTAACGGCGAGGTGAGCTTGTCAATCAGGCTCAGACGCAATTCGTCAGGCTGCTCCTTGTCGGCAATGGTTTCAAGATAGCCGGCAACAACGGTTAAAGGCGTCCGCAGTTCATGGGAAACGTTAGCGATAAAATTCTGTCGCATGGTCAGCAAGCGGTTGAGTTCGGTGTTATCGCGTACCAGTACGACAAAACGATTCTGCTCAACCGGGAAACTGCGGGCCTCAAGGTTTCTGTCCGGGTCGAAAGGGGAGGTGAATTCCAGCAGGTTGTCGCTCGCGCCGGATTTTAAGAAGGCGATGAAGTCCGGGCTGCGTACCACGGATGCCAGGCCAATACCGCGATCGCTGTCTTTGAGGAATAACAGGTTGCGGGCCGCGATATTGAACCCCTCAATTTCACCGGCTTTGTTAAGAATAATCACGGCATCCGGGATCACCTGAACCAGCGCCATCACCTCCCGCAGTCGGGTCATGAACAGCTTTGAGCGGGCGCGCTCCTGCTGCAGGGAGCGATACGGCGAATTGGCCAGTTTAAACCAGCCCCGTGAGGTGTTTGGAGGTGCGCGCAAGGGGTGTTTGGCCCACACCTTTATTTTTCTGTATTCCCGCCACTGCAGCACGGACCAGGTGACCGAACCGGCAAACAACGCCCAACCATACGCGTCAATGATGCTGCCCAGGGCAAGCGCCAGCAGTAACAGGACTGCTGCGCTGATCACTTCACGATTCAATTCCCTGTTCCATGTCGCATAAGTTGATTAGTCGGCGCGACTAAACTTCCATGGGTTTAAGCAGTTTCGGCCAGGCATCCATAGACTTGGCCATGGCCTCACCCATTTCCTCAACGGTCCAGGGTGCATCCAGAGCATCTTTCTCAGTAATCACATCCACCTGCCAGGACAACAGGGAAGTGCGATTGCCGCTGACACAGAACTGGCGACCGGTGACCTTGGCGGCATCATCTGTGCATAGCCAGACAACAGTTGGTGAGACTTTTTCAGGCGCCAGCCGTTCTCCAAGGTCTGGTACATCGGGCATGATGTCTTCAGTCATACGAGAAAGCGCCGCGGGGGCGAGCACGTTCACGGTGATGCCATACTTCATACCTTCGAGGGCCAGCACCCGCATAAAACCGGCAATACCGGCTTTTGCCGCTCCGTAGTTCGCCTGACCGAAGTTACCGATCAGACCGGAAGTGGAGCTTGTCATGACAATTCGACCACCTTCGCCCTGGGTCAACATCTGTTGCCACGCATGCTTGGTGACCAGGTAGGTGCCGCGCAGGTGTACGTCGATGACAATATCCCACTCATCGTCACTCATGTTCTTGAATGATTTGTCGCGCAGAATGCCGGCATTGTTGATTAAAATGTCCAGGCGGCCAAAGGTGTCGACCGCGGTTTTGACCATGCCTGCGGCATCAGCGTCATCGGTGACAGATCCATAGTGTGCAACCGCTGATCCGCCTGCGGCGTTGATTTCCTCCACCACGCCGTCTGCCATACTGGTGCCACCCCCGGTGCCGTGGCGATCGCCTCCCAGGTCGTTAACAACAACATGTGCACCTTCGTGGGCCAGCAGTAAAGCGTGGGCTCGCCCCAGGCCTCCCCCTGCACCGGTTACGATAGCGACTTTTCCGTCTAATTGTCCCATGCCTTATTCTCCTAGTGGCTGGTTAGTATGATCGCGGCATGTCCAGAACATGCTCGGCAATGTAGCTCAACACAAGGTTGGTTGAGATTGGCGCAATCTGATAGAGCCGCGTTTCACGGAACTTGCGCTCGATATGATATTCCTTGGCAAATGCAAACCCGCCATGGGTCTGCATACACACATCGGCGGCTTGCCAGGATGCTTCTGAAGCCAGCATTTTCGCCATATTAGCCTCGGCGCCGCAAGGCAGGTTTGCATCAAAGCGTTTGGCTGCCTGTTCAACCATCAAAGCAGCGGCTTCAATCTGTGTATATGCGCGAGCTATGGGAAACTGTACTCCCTGGTTTTTACCGATCGGGCGCCCGAACACCTCGCGATTGCTGGCATAAGCGGCAGCTTTGTCGATGAAGTAGCGTCCATCCCCGACACACTCGGCGCCAATGAGTACGCGCTCAGCGTTCATGCCATCAAGTATAACCCTGAATCCTGCGTCTTCTTCACCCAGCAGGCTGTCTGCGGGAATGCGCAGGTCATCGAAAAACAGCTCACATGAGTGGTGATTGATCATGCTTTCAATGGGCTGGATTGTCAGGCCGTTACCAACCGCTTTGTGTACATCAATGATGAACGTCGAGAGCCCCCGACTTTTACTGGTTGATGCAGGGCTGGTACGAGCCAGCAATAACATCAGGTCGGTGTGTTGGATACGGCTGATCCAGACCTTCTGGCCATTGATGACGTATTCATCACCCTCACGTCGGGCGGTGGTGGTGAGTTGCGTGGTGTCGCTGCCGGTGCCGGGCTCGGTCACACCAAAACTCTGCAAACGCAGCTCGCCTTTTGCGATTTTTGGCAGGTAATACTGTTTCTGTTGTTCGCTGCCGTGTCTTAGTACAGAACCCATGACATACATTTGCGCATGGCAGACACCTGCATGAGCGCCGGAGCGACAGACCTCTTCCATTACCGCAGCAGCCTGCATAAGTCCCAGGCCGGCGCCACCGTATTGTTCCGGTATGAGTACGCCAAGGAAACCGGCGCGGGTGAGTTCGTCAACAAAATCTGCTGGATAACCCTGCTCACGATCCATTTGCAGCCAGTAGTCTTCACCGTAACCGGCGCAGAGGCTCCGTACAGCTGCACGGATTGCTGCCAGTTCGCTCTGGCTAGCATCGGGCTGGTCGGTCGTTTCAGTAGTCATTTTCAGGCAATCCACAGATCAGGCAGCAACATTGTATAACCTCTTGGCAGTAAACGCAGTGGACGGTGCTTGACCGCCGCGCCGGCTAATGGGACGATCCTGTGCTTTGTGGTTGCCTCACAAGGCAACGCTGCAAACGGGGCTTTTCAGTTTTTTGGGGGAGAGGGATATGCGTCTGCATACAAAAGTGTTTGGGATGAGCTGTTTTCTGGCGATGGTTTTGGTTGCGTCTACTGCGCAAGCGGAGGCTTACAAAGCGCCGCGCGGGCCCGATGGCGTTCACCCGGATCTGAACGGGATCTGGCAGGCGTTAAATACAGCAAATTACAATTTGGAAATGCATACGGCGAGCCACTCGTTGCAGATGCGTGAAGGTCCGATGGGCCCTGTCCCTGCTATCAAAACCATGTACTTAGGTGCAGTTGCCGCAGTACCTCCGGGTATGGGTGTCGTGGTTGAAGGTAAAATTCCTTATAAGCCAGAAGCGCTGGCCATACGAGATGAAAACAAAGCGAACTGGATTGACCGGGATCCTGAAGTGAAGTGTTTTCTACCAGGTGTGCCGCGGGCGACTTATATGCCACAGCCCTTCCAGATTTTTCAGAGTGACGACTCCGTGTTCATAGCTTACCAGTACGCAGGTGCCACCCGGGAAATTTACATGGAAGACCCAGGCGAAGCGCCAGTTGATAGCTGGATGGGCTGGTCTCATGGAACCTGGGAAGGCGATACCTTGGTTGTGAAAGTCACCGGACAGCTGGACAGCACCTGGTTTGATCGCTCGGGTAATCATCACAGTGCATTCATGACAGTCACTGAACGGTATACGCCCATGTCGGAAAATCACCTGATGTATGAAGCGACCATTGATGATCCGGTAACGTTTACCAAGCCCTGGACCATCCGCATGCCGCTTTATCGTCGCATGGAACCTAATGCTCAGCTTATGGAATTCCGCTGTGTCGAGTTTGTTGAAGAACTGATGTATGGCGAATGGCGTCGCGAACCGCTGCCGCGATAAGCAGGGGTTTGTCATGCACATTCAACCAGCACGACTTTTGATCTGGCGGCCCAATTGGGTGGCCTTGCTTGTACCTCTGGTCCTGTGCGGTCTCAGTGCCCAGGCGAGCGAGCTGCCGCGCACGCCTGCAGGTAAGCCGGATTTAACCGGTACCTACAACGTTGCAACGTTAACGCCACTGCAGCGTCCTGCGGAATTTGGCAACAAATTATTCATGACGCGCGAAGAGGCTGATGCCATTGCGGCGAAGGTCGCAGCTACAAAAGCCGCTGACAGCGAACAGAGCGATCCGAACCGTGAAGCACCACCGGCGGGCGGCGACGGTTCTGCTGGTGCGGCGGGTAATGTGGGTGGTTACAACACGTTCTGGATAGACAACGGCGACTCTGCGGCGGAGGTTGATGGCAAGTTCCGCACCTCGATCATTACTTACCCGGAAAATGGCCGTCGTCCGGCTATGACTCCGGCTAACCAGCAGCGTATGGCGGCGTTTTACCGCCTGTTTGGCCGTAACACCGGTACCGCCTGGTGGTTAGATCAGCCCGGACCCGGTCCCTACGATCACATGGAAATGCGGCCTAATGGTGAGCGTTGTCTGCTCAGTTTCGGCTCGACGAGCGGCCCACCCATGCTCCCGGCGCTTTACAACAACATGAAGCGTATTGTGCAGACAGACGAGCATGTCATGATTATGGCGGAAATGATTCACGATGCCCGCGTTATTCGATTGAACAGCGAGCATCCACCGCAGGAAATCCGCAGCTGGATGGGTGACTCAATCGGCCATTGGGAAGGTGACACGCTGGTAGTGGACACCAGAAACTTCCGTGAGCGACCAGCCTTGTCTGGAGCGACCCAGGATTTGCATGTGGTTGAACGATTTACGCTGCAGCAGGATGGTGACCTGCATTACGAATTTACAGTAGATGACCCGAGCGCCTGGCAGGAGCCCTGGTCGGGTGAATATCCCTGGCCGGCGTCAAATGACAAGGTTTATGAGTATGCCTGTCATGAGGGTAACTACGCATTAGGCAACATCATGCGGGGCGCACGCGTTCTGGAGCAGGATGTGAAAGATGCACAGGTGAGTAGTGGCGGATAATTGCAACCTTCAACCCGAAGGATTGTTTAAGTATGATGAGGTCAACCAAAGCGTTCCTCAAAGCAAGGAAGGAGTATTGAAAGTGTTTTCAATTAAACAAGTAGTCGCAGTCGCTGGCCTGGCCGGTCTGATGCTAAGTTCTACCCAATCGTGGTCACACCACGCCTTTGGTGCTGAATTTGACCCTAACCGACCGTTGGTTTTGCGTGGTCCCGTGGTGAAGGTGGAATGGGTTAACCCACACGCCTGGATCCATATGGAGCACACCACTGAATCCGGTGAAAAACAGACCTGGATGGTGGAAGGTGGCACTCCGAATACACTGCTGCGACGAGGCCTGAGCCGTAAGTCGCTGATGCCCGGCACGGTGATTGTAGTTGACGGTTACCAGTCAAAAGACCGCTCTCAACGAGCTAATGGTCGTGACGTTACCTTTGAGGATGGCAGTAAAATCTTTATGGGCTCTTCCGGTACCGGTGCGCCAAAAGACGGCCGCGATGCTTCAGAACGTTAAAACTTTGGGTTGATGTTAAAAAAAGCCGGGCTGGTCCCGGCTTTTTTGTGCGTGTTGTAAGCTGACACGTTGCGGTTTAACTTTCTGCGGTTTCTTCAGTCTTGGTCAAATCGGCAACAGCGGCGAGCATATCGTCAATACTGAATGGCTTCTGCAGGTAGCGGTTCACACCCAGTTTTGTCAGGGCTTTGCTGTCTGTGCTCTGAGTGTATGCGGTGATGTAAATCACCGGCAGCTGTGTATTGAATGTGCGTAATTTCTGAATCAGCTCGACGCCGGTGATCAACGGCATGGAACCATCCGTGAGCAGCAGAGCAACATCATCAATGTTGCGTTCCAGATAGTCCAAAGCCTGGGGGCTTTCCGTAAATACCAGGGTCGGATACCCTTTGTCCCGCAGCACCTCACCAATGAAGTTGGCCACTGATACTTCATCATCCACAACCACAATGCGGCCACTCATTTGCGGTGCGGGGACCTGCAGGAGCTGATTGTCAGTTGCGTCCACTTCCGCGGTAGGCAGATAGATACCAAAACTTGTACCTTGACCGGCGGTACTGTCCAGCGTGATGTGTCCGTGGTGTTCGTGTACCAGATTGTTAATCATCCACAAACCAAAGCCCGTGCCCTGACCGGGCTCTCGGGTGGTGAAATACATTTCAAAAACTTTAGCCAGCAGTTCTTTTGATATGCCGTGGCCATCATCACTGACTCGAATGACCACATTGCCGGGTGTGATGGGTTCACCACAGGTGTGACAGACAGCCGGCTGAGTTTCCTCAAACACATTGATTGTGATTCGTCCGTTGCCGTTGATGGCATCCCTGGCATTGATCAGTAAATTGATGACAACCTGCTGGATCTGCACAGGATCAACGATGACAGCGGGCAGTGGATCTGCAAATACAGTATCGATGGTGATCGAAGCTGGAATCGCCGCGCGTAACATACGCGAGACATCGGAAATTGTTTCGCGGATATCTACGGGATGGGCTTCACCACGTTGCGCGCGGGTAAACGTTAACATCTGGGAGATGAGATCTCTGGCGCGATGGCCAGCGGTAACCACTTCTCCCAGGTACTGGTCAACCTGATCTTCACTCAGGCGAGCACGGGCGTTCATGATGAGTTCAGCGTAGCCGATGATGCTCGCGAGAATGTTGTTAAAATCATGTGCGATACCGCCGGCGACCTGACCGATAGCTTCCATACGACCGGCTTGCTGCATCTGTTCCTGCAAGGTCAGACGGTCCTGCTCAGCACGACGTTCGTGGGTGCGGTCGCGAACCGTTGCAATCATGCACAGCTCACCTTCAAGCTCCAGCTGTCGCGCGCGTATCTCGAAAAAACGCGGCTCGCCCTGGACGTCGCGTGCAAAGGTCCAGTCGAAATGTTCCGGATTCCTGGCGAGGCCGCTGATGAAATCACTACGCTGGTGTTCAGGCGTCCACAGGAAACTGTCATGCCGATCGTCGCTGACACCCATCACTGCACAGATATTGTCAAAGTTCGGGTTGCGTTCAATGATCAGACCGTCTTCGATACGCGCAATAAAAACGGCATCCGGGCTGTCGACAAACAGGCTGTGAAATTTTCGCTGGCTCTGGTGCAGAGCCTGGCGGGTACGTCTGGTTTCCGTGACATCCCGTATAACGCCATAAGTGCCGATAAATTTGCCCAGTGCGTCAGATGAACGGCCTTCGTAGAGGCCAATGGCGGACAGTTCAAGGGTGTGTTGGTTGCCGACGCTGGACGTGTAGGTGAACTCTTCGCCAACAGTTGCACGAATGCCGGTTCGACGTTCGTTGAACTGGTGTTGTAACTGATCAACCAGATTCTGCCTGCCAACAAACAGATGTTGCCAGTCTGTCTGGGTGAGACTGTTGTAATCAGCATCAAAAACGCCGTCGAGCTGGTGATTCAGGTATCTGAATTGACCATGTTCATCCAGCATATAGATAAGGTCTGGAGAGGCATTCAGCAGGAACTGGTACAAACGGGCATTGCTGGCTGCTTCTGCCTGCATGCTTTTATTTTCCTGCTCCAACTGGAAGGCTGACAAGGCGTTGGCAACGCTGGTGATCAGTTCAGGTACCTGAAACGGTTTGCGCAGATAGTCGTAGGCCCCCAGCTTCAGAATGGGGGCGATGGTCGACAGCTCACTTTCGCCTGAGAGCACAACAGTTTTTACCGCCAGGCCGTGGGTTTTGATTGCGCTTAAAACATCAACGCCCATCAGATCCGGAATATGCAGATCGAGAATGAGAACCTGATAAGGATTGCCGTCGGTGTGTGCCTTGCGCAGTCGCGCAAGCCCGTCATGCCCGGTGGTGGCGACGTCAGCTGGGTAATTGTGGGCCGCCAGAACGTCCCTTACACTGCGGCCGTGAATGACATCGTCATCGACAATGAGTATGTGCAGCGTGAACCTCGCTGTTTACACAGTGCTTGAAAAGATAAGCATACTCGGAATCCGCTGGGTTTGGGAGTCTTGCCCGACGTCAAAGGCTTGCCCGACCAGATAAAGGGAGAAATAACCCATCGAACAAATAGCAACTGCGTTAAATACCTGGCTGCAGTCGTTGCATCCAGTCTGGCTGATTCTTTCCGGGCTGCTTGTCGGTGCGTTTGCGGCTTATCTTGCAGCTCAGCGGAGATTTAATCGGCTGCACCTCACAGCGTTGGCTGATATGAGTGCACTCGAGGCGGCTACGGATGCCCAGAACGCATCGTACCAGGAGCAGTTACAGTCCTATCGTGAACAGCTTGATACGTTGAGGCAGCAGTTCAGCGATGCCCAGACTGCTGCGGCCACCGCAGCGGTGCGTCTGGAAGAAACCAGCAAACACTTTCATGAACGTGAGCAGCTGTTGCAGCAGAATAGCGCGCAGCTGCAGCAGGAGTTCGAACGCCTTGCAGCGAAGGTCTTTGAAAATCAGGAAGCCAGACAGAAGTCTTCTCTGGTTCAGGTGATGGGGCCGTTACGGGAGCAGCTGGGTGAGTTCAAGGCGCGGGTTGAACAGGTTTATCACGCCGACATCAAAGAGCGAGCTACCCTGCTGGGGGAGGTGAAAAATCTCCAACAAGCCAGCGAACGGATCAATGCCGAAGCGGAAAACCTGACCCGTGCACTGAAAGGAGATAAAAAGCTGCAGGGTAATTGGGGCGAGTTGGTGCTCGAACGGGTATTGGAATCTTCAGGGCTGCGCAAAGACCATGAATACTTTGTGCAGAGCAGCGAGCGTAATCAGGCGGGTGACCTGAAGCGTCCGGATGTGGTGGTCAGGCTGCCGGAGCAGAGAGATGTGGTGGTGGATGCCAAAGTCAGCCTGAACGCCTACGAACAGGCGCACACCGAATCGGATGAGCAGAACCGCGATCGTCTGTTACGCACCCATGCCAACAATCTGCGTAACCATGTGAAGCGTTTGTCTGAGCAGGACTATGATCAGCTGCCGAATGTGCGTTCGCTGGATTTTGTGCTGTTGTTTGTGCCGATTGAGTCTGCTTTTGCCAGTGCGATGAAAACGGATGAGCGTCTCTTCAATGAAGCGTTTAATCAGCGCATTGTTATAGTCAGTCCAACCACTTTGATGATGACACTGCGGATTATCAACAATGTCTGGCGGATTGAAAAACAAGGCGACAATGCACAGGAGATTGCTGAGCGTGCGGGTGCTCTCTACGATAAATTGCGTCTGCTGGTTGATGATCTGGAGACCCTGGGACGTCAGCTGCAAACCGTAGAGCGTACCTTTGATGTACTTCACGGTCGGCTGGTATCCGGTAAAGGTAATCTGGTGCGGCAGGTTGAGCAGCTGCGTGAATTAGGTGCGGTGGTGAAGAAGCCTATATCTGCCAAGTTGCTTGATTCTCTACCTGAAGAGGAATGAGGCAAGGTTCTCACTTTTAATTCCTTGCGAGCACTTGAAACGTCTTAAAGGTCACAGAACACATCTGCAAGACACGGTAAATTTACTTCCGTTGTAGAAATGGATTGCGAGAGGAAAGTCTATGCTGGTGTTAACCAGACGAGCCGGCGAATCGATCATGATCGATAACGAAATCGAGCTTAAAGTATTAAAGATTCGCGGTAGCCAGGTGCATTTGGGGATAGATGCACCGAAAAAGTCGACTGTGCATCGCAAAGAAGTATGGTTGCGTATTCATGGCGAGCCCCAAGCGGCGTCCGCGGTAAAAGCTTAATCCATCCCCTTGGATCCATTCGGATCTAATGTAAATTAAATCTAATCTGATAATGCCTCGGCGATAAAAGCCGGGGTTTCGCACAACGCGTATGGGTGAATATGATACTCATCCAGAGCCTGCCGATAGACACGAATACCTTCCTGCACTTCCCTGGCCATCTGTTCAGCGCCGGCTTTTAAAAATACGCTGTCGATGGCTTCGAAAATCGGATTAAACGGCTGCAGTTGGCTGAAACTGCAGCGTGTCAGCCACTGACCGCGGTGGAGCTCATCAACGTCAATGTCCTGGATGACGCTCCAGTGACTGAAGAAAGCCTGGCTGTCCTGGCTTTTGCTGGCAAACAGGATGGGTAGCAGCTGATTATCTCCTGATGCGACTTGCAGCATCTCCCGGGCAATCAACCAGGGTGATTCATCTGTGTAATGACCACTGCCACTGCCTTCCAGCATCGCTGCGATAGCTTTGTCTGTCACGATTGTGGCGATACAGAAAGGATGGCTTGCAGATCTGTTCAAGGAGTGATTTCCTAACTTAAATGTGTAACGAAACGACGCTCACGCCATGGATGTCGCGAAGTCAGTGCCAGCGGCTATGTTAACGCCCGACAGGCCGCCTCCGGAAGACTACTACCAAAACAATTGTCGGGTCCTCATCAGCTTTGTCTTGCAACGCTATGCGCAGCTGTTGATTGCTACTGAGCACCAGATGCTGGAACGTTTCATCAGCCTGAGCGATGACAGCCAACGGCTGTTTGCGCGACTGCTGACCCGCAAGCCACTTGTGCGTATCGATCAGATTGAGTATGCCGAGGTGGGTGATCTGGCTGCTGCCCTTGAAGAGCTGACAGTGGCCGCGCTGATTGAATTGAATCCAGCAGTGGCCGCGCTTGAAGTGCTTGATCTCCTGCGCAAAGCAGAGTTGCACGCCGAGGTAAAAAATTTACCCAAAAGTTGTAAGAAGGCTGATCTGCAACTGGCGTGGCTGGATGGTCGCTGCGATACACAGGTGCGTATCCGTGTGCGGAAGACGGTCAGCTGGTTGCGGGTTGCGCGGCGTGAGGTCTGGGATCTGGTGCAATTGCTGTACTTCGGCAGCCGCAGGCACGACTGGTCCAGTTTTGTGATGCGAGATCTTGGCATGGTGGTTTATGAACCTGTGGCCATGCACACCCACCAGTTTGCCAATCGCGCCGAGTTACAACAGACACTTAAGTTTCAGCGCCTGGGTGATCTCAGTCAGCGGCTCGACGAACACACCCATCTAGCCGCTGCGCTGTCAGCCGAATTGATGCCGACAGTCTCTGATCGATTTCTCAGGCGCAGACGTGCTCGGGCCTTGATGCGTATTGCCCGATGGCACGAACGCAGTCAGTCCTGGTCCGATGCTGCGCAAGTTTACCAGCAGGTTGAACGGCATCCGGCACGTGAACGCCTGGTTCGAGTGCTGCACAAACAAGGCGACCAACTGGCCGTTGCAGGATGGCTGGAAGAAATCAGCCGTGCGCCGCTGTGTGAGGAAGAAGCTCAGTTTGTAGAACGTTTTGGTCGACGCCAGGCAGGCTATCAGCCACCCACAACGGTGATTGAAATTGACCAGGCTGAACCGAACATAGAAGCTCAGGCATTAGAGCTGCTGTTGCGTCCCGGGGCCTGGGGTATACATGCAGAAAATACCCTGTTCAAAACATTAACCGGCCTGATTTACTGGCCAGTGATTTTTTCAGACATTCCTGGTGCTTTTACCAACCCTTTTCAATCGGCACCTAACGATCTTTTTGATGATGACTTTGTTGAGGTCCGTGCGGGTTTGATTGAAGCGCTGGAGCAACGTCTGGCAGACGATAACAACCTGGCGACACACCTACACCATATCATCAGGGAAAAGCAGGGCAGAGCTAACGCCCTGGTGTATTGGCCGTTGCTGGATTCGGTGTCACTGGATGATCTGCTTGAAGCTGTCCCGCTGGATGATATACGTAAACTTTGCGCATTCATGTTACGGAATCTGTCGCAACGTCGCGCGGGTATGCCTGATCTGTTCATCGCTTATGGTCCCAACACCTACGAGCTGGTCGAAGTTAAAGGCCCTAACGATCAACTACAGCCGGGACAGCGGGTCTGGTTCAAACATCTGCAACGGCTTGGTATTCCGGCTCGAGTGGTCAAGCTGAAACTGGCGGCGCGCGGTAGTTGTTTTGATTAGAGGCGATCTGTCGGTGCGTGCCCTTGCAGAGTTCACTTGTCGTACTGGCGATCTTTACCCATCCCGGCAGGGGCGCGCGGTGGATGCCGAAGAGGGCATTGTCGTGCAGCGGGAACTGCAGAAGTTACGTCTGTCAGCTGACCCGAACTATCAGTGCGAAGTAGCCGTTGGATTGGTGTTTCAAACGCTGCCTGGGGAACGCAGGCTCAGGGGGCGAATTGACGGCTTATCAACAGAAGCTGATTGTCTGGTTGTCGAAGAGATCAAGTGCCGTGGCGCGCTGCCTGCCCAGGCGGATCCGGTGGATTTTGCCCAGGCATTGATCTACGCCGGCATGCTGGCATTGAAGGACGATGCAGATACGCCGCGTTACAAGGTGCGTGTGGTGTATGTCCATGCCGACACACGTCAGACGGCCGAATTCACTGAGACATTAGAGCGAGCCGTTGTTGCGGGCAGTGTCCAGTTCATGCTGCTGTGCCTGGTTTGTCGGTTACAGCGCCACTATGCGCGCAACCTGGCCCGCCTTGATTGGGCGGCGACGCTGGAGTTTCCCATGCAGGCCTTCAGGGCTGCCCAGCAAGCACTGGCCAGGCGAGTTTATCAGGCGCTTGCCAGACAGGAGAATCTGCTGCTCGAAGCGCCTACGGGTAGTGGCAAAAGCCTGGCGGTACTTTTCCCTGCGGCAAAAGCGCAAAAACTGGAAGAGCAACTGTTTTTCCTCACCAGCCGCAATGCCGGTGCTGACGCTGCGCTGATGGCCTGTCGACAGATTGACCCGCAGGCTGCTCACTGGGTGGTTGTGGAACTGACGGCAAAAGCAAAAGTCTGCCTCAATCAGGGCGTCGCCTGTGATCCAGAAAACTGCCCGCGTGCGATAGGTTATTACGACCGCGTAAACCCGGCGGTTGATGTCCTGCTGGAATACAAATATGCGGATCGGGCAAGGATCGAACAGGTTGCTCTTGAACATCAGGTGTGTCCGTTTGAGCTGTCTTTGGATCTGGCACTGTGGGCTGACGTGATTGTCGGTGACTACAACTATGTATTTGATCCGGTTGTGCGCCTAAAACGCTTTGCCGAACACCGACAGTTGCATTTGCTGGTGGATGAATCTCACCAGTTAAGTCCTCGTGTCAGCGATATGCTGACGGTGCGGTTTGATCGGGCTCTGGTGCGCGACGCCAAAGCCACTACCCATGAAATCATGAAGAAGAAAGTGCTGTCCATCGACAGGGCTTTGCTGGCCCTGAAACGCACATCCGGTGAAGGTGAACAGGTTCTGAGTGGTCCGCATGTCCAGTTGCAGGCCCCGGTTAAAGCGCGGCTCGATGCGTTACAGCGTGCGTGTACTCGCCTGCTGGAAACGGCTGCTGAACAGGAAATCGAACTGGGCGCTTATCCCCAGCTGCAGGCTTTGATTTTTGCTGTTTCGCGCTGGTTGCGATCTGAACAGTGGGTCAGTGAGACTGAATTTGTTCACCTTGTTCATTCGGAAAATTCAGAAATCCGGGTGTCGCGTGTGTGTCTTGATCCCGGTCCTTACCTGCAGCAGATCTTCGCAGGTCATTGTGCAGTGGTGAGATTTTCAGGCACCGTGACGCCATTGCCCCTTTACCAGCGCCTTCATGGCCAGGCTGCAGCAGTTGGTGAACGTGCCCAGAATCCTTTTCAGGCTGAGCAGGCTGCGGTGATGGTGATCAGGGACATTGACACCTACTTCAATCAACGTGACGCCAGTTTGCCGAAGCTGGTCCGGTTTCTGATGGATCTGCTTGAAGCAAAAAGCGGTCGATATCTGGTGGCGCTGCCTTCATTCAGTTACCTGAGGAAACTGGTTAATGCCCTTGCTGCTAAAGACGTAGTGACCCTTGCACAAACACCCGGGCAGGATCAGATGCGCAGTGGTGAGCTCCTAGATCAACTCAGATCACTCGATGCGGGTATTATCTGCATTGTCATGGGCGGCGTGCTGGCTGAATCCGTGGATTTTTCCGGCATCTCGCTGCAGGGCGTGGTCATGGTTGGGTTAGGTTTGCCGCCGCCTTCGCTGGAACGCGACCTGATGGCACAGTTTTTTGAGCAGGCAGAAGGACCGGGTTGGGGTCAGATGGTGGCGTATACACAGCCCGCGCTGGTAAAAAACTTGCAGGCTGCAGGGCGATTAATTCGCAGTCCTGAGGATTTCGGCGTAATCTGTCTCGTCGATCCGAGGTTTAGCGCGCCACACGTGCAACGATTTTTCCCCGTCCACTGGCAACCTCGGACAATTGCTGCTGCCGATGTGCAGCAGCACGTAAAACAATTTTGGCAAATTACCGCAGATCACAAGGAAAGCGACTTGCAATGAGCATCCATCGCACAAAAATTATTTGTACCATTGGCCCCGCAACGGCGAGCTACGACATGTTACGCAAGCTCTACGAAGCAGGCATGAGCATGGTGCGCTTGAACATGTCCCATTCAGATCACAAGAGCGCAAAGCAGATTATTAACTGGGTGAAAACCCTGAATCGCAAGATTGATCACCCTATACCTGTTCTGTTGGATACCCAGGGTCCGGAAATTCGTACTGGCGATCTTGAGCAGCCCATGGAGCTCGCGGAAGGCGAAATTGTCACGCTGTTTGTACGCGACTCCACTTTTGTTGAAACCAAGTCGATCAAAGTAAACTACGACGAAATTGTCGACATTGTCGACGTGGGCAAAATTGTTACGGTAGACAATGGTCTGCTTAACTTTGAAGTGCTGGAGAAATCCGATAATCAGTTGACCTGTCGCGTGGTAGACGGCGGCACTTTGGGGAGTCGGAAACACGTCAACCTTCCCGGCGTACGAGTTAACCTTCCCGCAATAACCAAAAAAGACCGCGAAGACATCACGTTTGGCATCGAAAATGAGGTCGATTTTATTGCCCTGTCTTTTGTGCGCAGCCCCGACGATGTCACCGAACTGCGCGAGTTTCTCGGCAGCAAACAGAACACCATAAAGATTATTGCGAAAATCGAAGACCAGGAAGGTGTCACCCATATTCACGACATCGCGCGCCTGGCTGATGGCGTGATGGTTGCCCGTGGTGATCTCGGTATTGAGACCGATATAGCTGACCTGCCTAACGTGCAACGCCGAATTGTGCATTCGTCGGCTCAATGGGGGCGCAGATGTATTGTGGCGACCCATCTGCTGGAGTCGATGATCGAGAACCCGATTCCAACCCGCGCTGAGGTCACAGACGTTGCAAACGCAGTATACGAAGGTGTTGACGCGGTGATGTTGTCCGGCGAAACCAGCGTCGGTCATTACCCGATACGATGTGTTGAACAACTGCGCGCGATTACTACCAAGGCGGAACGATACCCGGGCCTTGGGTATGAGAAAGATCTGATTGTGACTGACGATAAGCAGCACGTGGCGGTGCATGCTGTAGCGCTCGCTGAAGCGATTAACGCCAGCGGGATTGTTGTCATTACCCGGCGCGGGTTTGTCGCAGATTACGTGACCAACGCACGCCCGATGCACGTACCCATTTTCGCGTTTACTAATCACAGTCAGACTCGCCGTCGGTTGTCGTTGAATCGAGCGGTTTACGCTTATCGAACTGCATTCAGCTCTGACCCGGAAAAAACCCTGCAACGCGCATTTGATGTGCTGCGTGATCGTCAGGGCCTGGACGATGATGCCAAAGTGGTGGTGATATCAGATGTGCTTGCAGACAAAGCCAGTGACGCGATCCAGATTCGACGCCTGACCTGATTCGCCCTGCTAAAAAGTCGCTGCTGAATACAGCATGCGAGCGGAGACGAGCACCAGCAGCAGACCGAACAGCTTTTTCAGTTTTGCAGCGGGTACCTTGTGCGCAAATCGCACACCCTGGGGTGCCGCAAACAATGCGCCCACCACTATGGGTGCAAAGGCATACAGGTCAATAAAACCCAGGGTGCCATTGTTCAGTGCAAAACCGCTGGCGGAAAGATAGCCAATAGTGCCCATCAATGCGATGGGGACACCTAGCGCGCTGGCCGTGGCGGTGGCGTTATGAATCGGCGTGTTGAAAAATACCAGGGAGGGCACAATGACGTTACCACCTGCAATGCCTGCCAGTCCCGCTGTAATTCCTCCACCCAGACCCAGTGATGCCGAACCCAGATAACCGGGAAAGCGCCGTTTTGCGTCGGGTTGCCAGTTTGACAGCATGATCATCGCGACAATCGCCAGGAAAACACCAATAAAGCTGCGGAAGATCTCGGGCGGCAGCAACGGCGCAATCCAGCCCGCGAGAAAGCTGCCCAGCAGTAAAAATGCGAGCAGCTTCTGAAACAGATCCCAGCGCACCTTACCGGCTCGATATTGGGTGTAGCCTGCGGATGCTGAAGTGAAGATGATGCAGGCCAGCGAGGTGGCTACCGCGATCAGCAGGCTCTGTTCCGGGGCAAAGCGGTTTGAAAGGTCATAACTGATAACCAGCGCCGGTACGATTACAACACCGCCGCCAATGCCCAGCAGCCCGCCGATAAATCCGCTGCCCAAACCCAGTACGATGTACAGGCAGATAAAGAAAACTTGTTCCAATTGCAGTAATGTTCACAGGATAAGAAATTTGAGTTTATCGAAGTTGTTGATCAGGCAGAACATAATTAACAGAGCAGTACTGATTTTTGCATTAGCGGTATGTGCGGGCTCTGCTTTTGGGCAGCGTGTTGAGCTGGCGAACGGTGATGTTTACGAAGGTGAGCTGTATGACGGTCTACGTAACGGCGCAGGGGTTTACATATGGTCAGACGGCAATCGTTACGAAGGTGAGTTCGCCAATGACCGTTTGCACGGTCAGGGTACCTATACCTGGAAAGATGGCCGTACCTACGAAGGTGATTTTGTTGAAGACCGACGCGAGGGTGAAGGCAGCCTGACCTGGCCAAATGGCGATCGCTATGTCGGTGCGTTCAAAAACAATCTGCTGCACGGTGAGGGCGCTTTCACCTGGGCGAATAAGGACTCTTATCAGGGCACCTTTGTTGAAGGTCAGCGCACCGGCAAAGGCAGATTTGTCTGGCACACGGGTGAGGTTTACGAAGGTGATTTTGCCAACGGTATTGTGCAGGGGCAAGGCAGCTACACCTGGGTTGATGGTCGTCAGTATGTGGGTTTTTTTGAGGCAGGTAAAAAAATTGGTCAGGGTGTTTTTATCTGGCCTAACGGCAACCGCTATGTTGGTGATTTTGTAGCAGACGCACGCAGTGGCTTCGGCGTTTTCTATTGGCGCGACGGTACAGTTTATCGCGGTCAGTTTGCTGAAAATCGTCTGCATGGCTGGGGTATCAAGCGGCAGCCGGAAGGGGTGCAGGTTTTGCAGACCTGGCGCCGTGGTGAGCTGGTTTTCAGCCAGCCTCTGGAGGCGCATGCGCAATGCAGTCTGCGCCACCTGGAGCGTGACTGGATGTTTACCAGTGATCGTTGCATAAATGGCATGGCACATGGGACAGGTGTTGCTGCCAGTCTGGATGGGCGCATGATTATTCCCGAAGGGCGTTTTGTGCTCGGCCAGCTGGTGGAAGGTGAATTGCTGGCGCTGCCCAGTGATGAGAACCGACGGGCGCAAAGCCAGGTGCAAAACCAGGCGGACAGCCGTTGAACGACGGGCAATTGGGTGTGGAGATTCCCGGCGTCATCCTCGGTGAAATTCTTGGTCGAGGCGGTATGTCTACGATTTACGCCGCCACGCAAAAAGGTACTGAGCAAAGAGTAGCGGTAAAGGTTCTTAACGCCGGCGCTGCCGCGCTGCCTTATGCTCGCTCACGATTTCTGAACGGCGCTAAGCTGCATAGCCAGCTGAAACACCCGAACATTGCGCGCGTCCTTGATTTTGGCGAAACCCAGGGTAACGCATACATTGTGCAGGAGTATCTTGGTGGCGGTGATCTGAATCAGCAGCTGCAGAAGGGGTTGCATCTGCAGGCAGCGATTAAAATCATCAAAGACATCGCCAGAGCCCTGGATTATGCACATGCTGTAGGGGTCATTCATCGTGATATTAAACCGGAAAATATTCTGTTCCGGAAAAACGGCAGCGCTGTACTGACCGACTTTGATATTGCGGTGGCAGCCTCTCAGGAGGATTCGAAAACGGCGCAAGGTACGGTTTTTGGTACGCCGGAATATATCAGCCCGGAGCAGGCGGCGGGGCGCCCGGTAGATGGCCGTTCTGACTTGTACAGCCTCAGCGTGGTGATGTTCCGGATGTTAACCGGGGATCTGCCTTACCGTGCTGAAACGGCGGTGGGTGTTGGTATTAAACATCTGCAGGACCCCATCCCGAAGTTGCCCAACTATCTGGCCGCGTTTCAGCAGATCATAGATAAAGCTCTGGCAAAGAAGCCGGAAGCGCGTTATCAAACCGGCGAAGCGTTGGTGGAAGCCCTGGATGGCATCCGTTCAGAAGCGGCGGTGCCTGAAGCCACGATAAAATCTCAACCGATCAATACCCAGGAAATTATTGCGGTTGGCGGCGATCTGTTGTCAACGACAAGAGATCCAGCCCGTCAGGAGCGTCAATCACTGCGTCTGAAGCGTCGCCGTCGAATAAGATCAGCCCTGGTTATTGTGCTGCTTGCAGGTCTAGGTGCAGGTGGTTATTACGCCCTTGAACAGCAACTGATCAATCCCGAGCGTGTGCTTGCGCAACTGGGTATAGGTGAAGATCCTCTGTTGATTGTGGCCTGGTCTGAGGCGCAATCCATGCGCCAGGATCCAAATCAGGGGCTGACAGCCATTGTTGCCGCATATCGTCGTGTGCTGGCCATTGACCCCGATCATGCAGGGGCTCGGTCCGAAGTGGCGAGCCTTAATGCGGATTGGAAAGAAAGCATTGAAGAGGCATTTGCGCAACGCAGTCTGCAGCGGGCCCAAACCCGTCTGAAAGAGGGGAAAAACGTGTTCCCTAATGACCCGCAATGGATGCAGATGGACATTGAATTGCAGGACCGGCAAAGGGCTGAGCGTATTGTCAGTACTACCAAAGCGCTGCTGACCAGTAACGGAATATCTGATCTACCCAGCGCAACTGCTGCGATTCAGTCTTACCAGGAAGTTCTGCGCCTGGCGCCAGGCCACCCGGAAGCACAGCAGGCGCTGAGCGAGATATCTTTGCATTACGCCGGGCTTGCAAGCGCAGCGGCAGAAACAGGCGAAGTTGCGAACGCAATTAACCTGTTGGAACGGGCAACAGCGGCGGATGCCACGGTGACTATGCTGGATGACGTGCGTAAATTAATTTCCCAGGCAACCACCGCACGTGCCGCCATTGATGACCTGTTACAGCAGGCCCGTCAATATCGAGCTGATGGACAACTGATAAAGCCGTCAGGAGAAAACGCGGCAGAGCTGTATCATCGTGTGCTCGCTACAGATCCGGATAATGTGTTTGCGGCGCAAGGTCTGGACGAAGTCACCGCTCAGATCACAGCCAGTGCGGAACAGCTGTTAGCCGAAGGTGATCTGGCGTCGGTGGATATGCTGGTTGCTCAAGCGGCAGCCGCAGGTATGAGTGAGTCTATTGTTAACGAAATCCGTGGGCGCATGGATACTGAGCTGGAACGCCTGAGTACCATTGAACAGCGGCTGGCACAGGCTGAGGAACTGATTGCACAAGGCTATCTCACAGCGCCGACCAACGAGAACGCCATTACTTATCTGCGCGAAGTACAACAGTTGGACCCAGGTAACGAGGTTGCCGCTTCGTTGCTGCAACAATGTGCTCAACGCCTGGCCGAAGTTGCACGCGAAGCCTACGAATTCGGATTGGCCGATGCTGCCGAGCGGTACCTGAATCTGGCGTTGACCATTACCCCGGAAGTCGCAGAATGGGTTGCGTTGCGCGAGAGTTGGGAGACGGACGAAAGCTGATGCAGACTGATATTTCTTACCTGCTTTACTGGGATGATGACACCATTCCAATCAACGGCAGTATGACCTTCGGTAATCATCTGGATAACGATATTGTTGTGCCTGGTGAAGATGTTGCAGATTTTCACGCCCGTGTTGATCTGTCTGAGCGAGGACCTGTGGTTATTCCCTTAGGGGACGCAACAGTCAGCGTTAACGGTCAGGAACGAGCTTCGCCAGTGCAGCTGATTATTGGTGATACTGTGGGTATCGGTCAGGAGATGCTGCAGGTAGGCATAGAGGTCGAGGCGCGAGACCCCGATGCGGCGCAAAGCTGGATTCTGCGCGGAGACGATGATTCACGTCATGAAATTCGGGGTGAGTTATCCATCGGCCGCGCGAGTTCTGCGGACATTTCCATTCCAAAAGAACATATCTCCCGGCATCACGCCCGTCTGCTGGAACACGATCAAATGATCTGGATTCAGGATCTGAATTCAGCCAATGGCACTCGACTGAACAATACGCCAGTGATCGGCGGTGCGCGTATGTTCCATGGTGACTACATTTACTTTGACAAAGTGCGCTATCAGCTGATTGGTCAGGGTGGCGCGCTGACACCGGTGCAGCACTTTGTTGATCCCCTGCGAGGCACACGCAACCAGCCGCCACCAAAACAATTAGATACCACTGAATTTACGGCAGTGGAGGAACCGCTGCTGGCACCTGCAGGGGTGCCGGCATTAGGCGAAACCGGTGCATTTCTGCTTGGTGTTTCTGAGTCAGTAGACGGGAAAGTGCTGCGGTTGGGCATAGGTGAGTCGCTGCTGGGTCGTGCAGATCATTGCCACATCACCATTGCGGATTCCACCGTG